TTTGCTCTTCAAATTCGAAATTGCGGATCACCCCCCCCGGTCAGCAATTTTTTTCGGGAAGAAATTTACACTAGATAGAATTGATTTTTTTGACCCCCCTTGAATTTTTGGCTTGACCCCCCCTGAATTTTTTGGTGTCAGAACCTATGTATGTATCAAATCCATTCCATGGTTAAAATTGAAAATCTGGAGTATTGCTTCTCGTGCATGAACATAACTTTGCAAATCGTCGTATCATAAGCTGACATTTGCACATCGAAAATAAGAAAATAAATCAAATCTAGTTAAACTATGACGTCATATGTCGATGACACCATTTTTACATGGAACCGATTTCCCACTGATTTGAATAAACTCTGCTTAAAAACTCACATTGAATTGCACCTTATGAATATATTTATTTGATTTTGATTAATTTTCCCAATTATGTATTTTTCCCTAGAAAATTGTCAAAATTTGTCCTATTCATTTTGTTTTTCACCTGGAGATTTGCTTTTTATGCGATTCAATTTCCTATTTCTTTAATCAAATTTTTACTCATCAAAAGCGGTTACTCAATTTTAGCAAGTTCAATAAGGTAGGGTTACGAAAATGATTCTTTAAGAAAATATAACGACGAAACATACCTTACAACAGTACTGATATACCATACAATACAATCTAAGTTGGCACAAGACATGCACAACTACGCATACCACTAAAAATTACCAACACAAACAAAACACCATGCCACAATACCAACTAACAGTACGATGAATATGAAATACGTTTTGGTGATTGTACAATGCGTTGTAATTACTTTTAGTTGTAGTGCATGCAATTTCCTGGTATTTAATTTCAAAAGAAATCAAATTTTTGTTTCTAATTTTCATGATGACTCAAAGTGCATCAATCAGTCAATTGATCATTCGGATTGTTTGACGAGTATTCACTATTCGTGGAATGTAAATGTTGAACTTGTAAGTCAGTTAGAAGTCATACAAAGCGATCTTCGTCCAAAGTAGGTAGTTGAAGTTGAATATTCACGGATGCGAGGAAACACATGAAGAAGACCCCCCCAATCAGTTTTGAAGCCAATAGGTTTTGATACAAGAATAACTTGCTTCTTTCGACACGAAGTCACAGTAGTTGATTATTATTACAACTAGTGCTTTGGGATATTCTTTAGCTATGGGAATCACCGAAAAAAAACCAAATCTTACCCTTGCCACAATGTACAGCTGTCCTATACCAGAGTACGACAATATAAGTCCATCTGTAGATCAAAGGTGTGTTTCGATATTCAAACGGGCGAAAATAATTTAAGACATATTTTAACCAAATATTATTACTCTACCGGCATTTATTTCAATGGAAAAAGAAACTTTGACATTGTTCACATTTTAAATGAAAAGAAGATTATAGATATAGAACAGTTATTATTCATTTGCATTTTCAAATTCAGTTTCATCAGTTGTTGGATTTGTGACTTCACTTGGATGAGGCGTTGCATTGGTATCGGTTTGGGAATCGATTTCGATTTCGATTTCGGTTTCGGTTTCGGTTTCGGTTTCGGTTTCGGTTTCGGTTTCGGTTTCAGTTTGCATGTTTTCATGGATTTCGGGCACTTGGCTTGGAATCGCGTCACTTTCTTCCCGTTTCTTCTTCCAGTTTTTGGCTGCTGCCAACAATTTGAGGTTCGGTCTTGCCATTTCGTCTTCTGGAAATATGTAATCGAACACTTCTTCCCATCCTTCTTCGATGCCGCTATCCGAAATAATTTTCTGTCGTTTCTTCACTCGTCTGGGCAATTTTTCAACCACTTTTTCGTAAGTGTCCCTTGTTCCATTTTCACTTTCAAAGTCTCGCCATGCCTCCAACAAAATGACGCGGTTCTCTTTCTCGGGGGAGGTTTTGAGTGAATCATTCGCCCGTTCATATACTCGTCGTGCTAGTGATATGTTCAAGCCATCATCGTTTTCCTCACATGATAGCTCAAATTTTGCATACGATATCCATACTTTGACGTGAATGGTACGTTCCAAAAGACGTTCGTACAGTTGGCGGGCAAGTTCGTTTTCACCTTGATTTACCTCGAAGTCGATGTACGATTTCCACAACAATTCCGGCATATCGAGACGATTTTGTGTGATAGCCAACTCAAATATCGCGCGCGCTCGATCAATGTCACCCAACAAGTTTTCCAGTTCGGCAAACTTCATCCAGGTGATGCAGTTCTCTGCGCCAAATTCTAAAAATTTCTGATATAAAATGCGACATCGATCGAATTCACGCAGTTGTATTTCTAATTCAATATAGCCACGGAATAGCTTATCTCGCGGACACATGCCGATGGCTTGTCCCAAGGCTTTTCGAGCGATAGACAAGTTTTTGCATCGAACCTCAAACTGCGCGTACATTATCCAAATTTTGCTAAATGTAAACACTTTATGTGGAATAACTTCTAGGCATGTTTTGTAGACTTGGCGAGTACGCTCTTCATTCTGTGCTTCGATTTCTTCGTACAACGCATAGTTTATCCATAGGTAAATATATCTTCGCCATAGACTTTTATCTTTGCTCGGTGGTACATTGGCAATGGCCCGTTCATACGTTTCCCGAATGGTCTCGGCCTCGCCTTCACTTTCAATCAAACGTAAATAATCGAACCATGCATCATAGTTGGTTGGATTTTCGGCGATTTCTTGTTCGTACTGAAATTTACGTTTTGACACAATGACGTCTTCGATTCCCGACCGGTCACCGTATTTCTTCTCATGTATTGTGTATGCCTTATAGAGATCGTTAGTTCTGTCTTTGGGTAAATGTTGCAATGCATATTTGTAAATGACACGAACGCGATCATGTTCTTTTTGTCCTTCTTCAAATCGTGCAAACGCTATGAACAGCTTCTCCTCCATGTGCTCTTCGCCGAAAAATTCTACTGCTTTCTCGTAGATTTGTCTGGTACCGTTGATAAATCCATGGTTTTCTTCGAATCGTGCAAATTTGATCCAATTTTTCACATCTGGATGCACCATGACTAATCTTTCGTAAATTTTTCGAGCTCGATCGATTTCCTTGTATCTTAGCTCAAAATTGATATAGGTGTTCCATGCTTGCTCCTCTGGAAGAAATTCTAGCCACCTGAAAATGATACATTTATTGATATTAGTTGTCAAACGATATAGATTGTCTGAAATGTGTACGAACCGTTCGAATACAGCGCGAGCCCCTCCTAGATTTTCCAGCATTTCCTCCATATAAACATATTTGTACCAAAACTGATTGACCCTTGGCAAAATTGTGACCGCACGATCGAATAGGTTTCGTGCATGATTCACCTGTTTATTTTTCATTTCCATTTCGATATACTTTAGCCATATTGTAATATTGCGGTGATCGTTGTCGATGGCTCGTTCCCAAATAGAGCGGGCACGCTGAATTTCCTTCTGTGACTCTTCCCATTGTGCGTATTTTATCCAATTGCTGACCACCATGCGATTCTTTCGTAAATTATCTTCAAATGCCTTACGTTTTCGGTGTTGATAGTCAGCCAATTCAGCTGGATCGGAGATTTTCTGTTTTGGTGGCGGTGGCAAAATTTCCAAATCACGTTCTTTGGCTTCACGTAGCAGCTGTTCGGCTGTAATTTGAACTTCGGCCGGTGCTTTGTTTTTCACCTAAAATCAACAAATATACATACATGTATGAAAGGTACACTTTTTTGATAAACCGCTTTGAGGTTAATTTCATCCATATTCAGAATATATAATAAAGATATTCATTTACCTTTGCCACTTTGGGCATTTTTTGCGTTCTCTCCATGATTGATCAGTCGTCAACTATCTGCTTTCGTCCAGTGGATTTTTGATAAACTCGTGATTTGTTTTATATTTATGATTTTGAATGGATGCACAACGTCTATGTAATGCGGCGATCTCAAAACGTATACAAAACGCAAGCTATTTTGGCATTTGGCAGATGTCATATTCTGTTTCAATGTTTATCGTTGTGCGGCGCCACTGTTTACTCTCAAAAAATTGACTGGAACTATTATCGTTACGAAAGTTCATATTTCATTTTCCATCGAATTCAACTCATCTGTTGACAAATGAACACATACCATTCATGTGATCTAAATTAAAATGAAATGTTTAATTGGGAAAATTTTATTGAAAAGACTCACACGTTCAACCGGTGTGAGTCTCGCGAAGCTGGTTAATATCCATCAAGATTTGCTTTGCTTCCGAAATTCGGTTGAAAGAATTAATTCATTCAAGCTCACGGTTATGTATAAATAAACAAACATAACTTTGCGACAAACCACAGAATATTTCGATTCTCCCCACGACGATTTGCATTTATATTGGAAAATTAAGATTCATCATATCAAGTAAGCGAGAAAAAAGGCAAAACATCAGAATAAATCACCTCAACATTTTATGCAACGTCAATCATTATATTTTTGGGAATTGTATTTATACGGAACAGTAACTTTCTCGGTATGGTTTTGTTTTTTGAAAGCAAAAATTACAACATGATAACAACTGACGTTCATTGGATGAAAAATATGGAGATAAATTCTGTATCTCACTGTAAAGTTGTCTCATTTTTTATTCGAGTAACTTTTTCTGATGCCTTCGAATTTCTTTTACGAACATGAGCGAAATTGGATGATTTTGGGAGGCATACATACGTTCGCTACTGTATTTTTTGGCGGATGAAATTAAATTCAAACAAAAACTATCGGTTTGAATAATGCAATAACAGGACTAATTATTTTTGTTAGGAGCACGGCTAAAAGTGGTAAATGGTATTCGCATGTGATTGAAAGGAAAAAAATAACTAAGGAATTAAACTAAAGTGACATGTACTGCAGCGAAAATTCCCAGAGATAAACATGAACATCTATTTTCATGGAAATTTTTTGTTGATAATTTAGAATTAAAACTCAAACCAATCCGGCCACACTTCGATTTTTTAGTTGAATTTCTATATTCATATTGCTTATACTTCGTTCATACATTGATGAAGTTTAGATCATGTAAAAGACTCGATGTAAAGTGAATAAATTTCGTTGAATTTTATGTTTTATTTCCTTATAAGTTCCTCAATGCGCACCTTTATCTTCAGCGACAATATGCTATTGAATCCACTTATGCTGTAATAAACGGAGAAAATCTGTGACATAGATTCATATGTATGGGAATAAAAGCGCGTAAAAGCCAAAGAAAATAGACAACAGAGTCGTTTGATATGAAAAAGTTCAGTTAAAATGAGAAAAGGAAAAAAAAGAACCAAACAAAGAGGACGCGAATAAAGGAGAATCGCAGAATAAAACAGAATATCCAATGAGTTAACGCATACAGGGGAAACACAACGTATTCTGGTTAACTCTGTATGCACATAAAAAGGGCAAATTGAATTGTGTGTTTGTGCATGTTTCCATATTTTGTTTCATACCCGTTTCCCAGCTGAGAAAATACATAGATGATAATAGTAACAGATGCTTGTGCAGAGCTCTGTGCCGAAAATCGATTCCGTCAGCTCTCCGCTGTTCTTCTATTTTTTCAGATGGGATATGATTGCCGTTCCACAGTGATGAAGGAGAAGATGAAAGAAAATCACTTCATCTTCGACAAATGGTGGCACCGAAATTGAATATGACATGAGCAGAGAAAGACATCCCGAGAGTAGAGCCGGGTACTGGGACTGTGAGCGTATCCACTTATATATATATATATATATATATATACGTTCGTGATAGTCGATAAATACAATTACATACACACACAGAGTGGTATCGAACATCAACACACATTCAACCACAGTTACAGACAATTTTCCGTTTGTTTTCCTTTTCAGCCAGCAGGTTAGTTATTTGTCGCTTACGTCGTATTTTCATCGTTTTCTATGTGTATTTTTTTCACAGAGGGATCGTGGCGCATATCGACGGAATTATTCAAGGCATATAGACGAGTTCAGTATTCAACCATGCTCAGGTGTGTACACCATAGCACACATCGTAGCGTGTGAAAGTGCATAAATTGGAAAGAAAAAAAATATCTACGCAATGATACGCAATTTTATCGATCAAAAGCAAATCCATAGCCAAAAAAAATTCATAGTATACAAACATATTACCAAGCCAACATAAAAAAAAATCGATAGAATAAGGTAAAATGAGACAAAACAAACAACTGTAATCAGTAGTAATCAAAAGCTTATTGGTGAAAGAAGAAAAACTGGTCAGTTTGAACAGTGAATTGAAGTTTCATTGACGAACAGCAAATGTTCACATATAAATCTGCCATCCCATAGAGAAACAAAAAACGAATCTAATGTGTGTCCTAGTGATTTCATAGAAAATTTAGTGTAATCGACCCAAAAGCGAAAAGAGCTTGAAATTTGAAAGAAAATTTGGAATTCACCATACATTTTCAATGATGAGGAATTTATCAATATAACAAAAATACTCGCAAACAAAAACAAATTCATGTGTGTGAAAAAAATGGAAGTGATACACTTATAATCTCCGAATTTTACACTTCACTGCTATAACCACGTTAAGAAAAAAAAAAGAAGAATGTAGTACAATTTTAATGATTTTCCAATTCAAATGAATTTTATTGAATTATCCATTTCGCATGGACAAATTCAACTTGACCTTTGTGTAGGTGTTTTGTTCATAGCTGAGTTCAACGATTTCCTCGATTGACAACATAGTGCTTTCAATTATTTAAAAAAAAAAGTATGCCTTCGCCCGGCTTGTATCTAATGAAAATGAAAACATGAAATATTTCAAGTAAGAAAATCGAGAAAAAACCATATACATTTCGACACATATAGATATGTATATACCAGTATGTGGATAAGAATTGAAAAAGAAAAAAAATGCGTTGTGTAGTGTTAAGGCTAGTGGATATATAATCCGCACGTTTTTCTATGTGTGCATTTCGAAGTGTGTAAGAGGATAGCAATTTGTATTTTGCGGCTGTTTGTTGTTATTACGGCCGATAAACACATTTTCATCGTTGACTTTTTCTAGCTGGAATTTCGATGGATAATAATGGAAATATTATCATTGAAATACATCGTTTAAAGCTGATAAATGGAAAATATCGATTATTTGAAATTGGTGAAATCATTTCTATTCTTCGAACATCCAGAGAAAAGTAAAGAATTTACATCTCGGAGCTACATTTGTTTATTTATTTGATTTAAATGTTTCGCCCGAAGAAAAAAAAAATCCAAATCGCTTTCAACACGTTCAATTGTTGGTCGTATGCACGCTCAACGCTCGCTTGGAAAATTCATATGAAATATTCTCGGGTGTGTGTTCGAACGAAAGAGTTTTTAAATGATTTCACAAATGAACACAGATCAATTTTCTTGGCACAGCCTAATGAAATCGGAATTTTTTGAATGGAATTTCATGTGATCTTCGAAATGTTGCACACGCTCCACACGAGCGAATAAACTAACTCGTTTAAACAAATCGGTACGGCCCGCCTGTCAATGCCTCACAACTTTTTGTTTGCTTATTTTCATTGTATTGAACATCCACCGATATTAAAAGCTGTTTATCTAATGGAAATTATCGACCGAAAAAAACAAACTATAAATTCTACTTTGCAACTCTGTCTGTCGTCACTTCACGCATGCATTCACCTTGTGACTAAATCCAATTTAGCTATAATATGTGTAGCACGTTCGGGTTGATTTGTGCTGTCTAAATATGAATGACATACGGTGGTCGAGTTTAATATATATTAATTTAACATTAGAATGTGGGCTCTTGAAAGTTTTATTCAAAATCTTGCACTTCTAGTATTTTTTTGTACGTTCTACCATAAAACAGCATTAAGCAATTAAATGTTTTGATGTGTATATAGAAGACGATAGCTCATAATCAATCATTCAATTGCGAATTTTTTTTAAACTGAATTGGATTTTTCCGCGATTTCCATGACAACATAATGGACTTAGGGTTTTTCAGCCAAGTCTCTCCCCCCACAAAAGGAATCTTTTACAGCTTATCTATCCGCAAAAATAGATAAGAATAAGAAAAATACTGAGATAATCTTCCCACTTTGATGGAAACCCTTTATCTTTCATCTGTAATTGGTGTGGAAGTCGCGAAAAATCAAGGTGAATATATTTATTCAGTGAAAGTTCTGTGCTGAAATTCATCTGAACTGACTTCAACGTCAAATGTCCATCACATATCAAGTATTGAATATTAAAAGGGCGTATGACATCAATGGGTTAATTAGACAATGTTCCGCCTCTATTTATCTATGACAAAAGTCGTACGGACTTTTCCTTTGAATTTAAGCCAATACGATACAGATGCAGCGGGCACATATTCGATATTCATGAAATACCGTATAAATAGAAAAACTAAACATGTAAACTATATATTTACTGTCTTGAATTTACAATTATAAGTTGAACACTTTTAATTTCTAATCGATGCTCTCCAAAATACCATTCTATGATGAAATCCGCATAAAACTGACATGGCATTCGAAATAGGCAAAATATTTAAAGAGGCCCTGGCTTTGATGCTGTTCATCCAGCGTAGTTCTATATTCAGTTTAACGTCCGCTTATTCACTGGATGGTGAACGTTGCAAAAAGTAAATCACAAATGATTCCGGATACCTAGTAAAATTAGATAAGATATTGCGAACGGGGTGGGGTGAATATTCTACAGCGAATGAAGAATCCGTCAACATATATGCCCACTTCTGTATTCCATTAACGATTATTCCATTATTATTATTTTTTTACTTCAAATTATCGATTTATATCAAGCAAACAAAAAATTGTTGGCATGTGAAAATATTGGCCGATTTTCCAGAGCCAAAGAATGAGAAAAACAAGTTGGTGGTCGCGCATAAAACTACTCATTGTATTGCAGGCATAGACGCCTCTTTATTTAATGGTTATATTTTACATGACCCAATCAGAAAAAAAAATTTGAACACTAAATAATATTCGCAATTTGTATTGAACGCATTTTTCGAAATCTATTTCGGATATGTTGCCATAAAAGCTATTAGCACAAGCATCAAAACGGCGATATGGATGGATGAACGAATGGATGGAGAAAGAAATGATGGGATAAATTGTAATCAACCGCGTGATGATAACTAATCGCACATAAAGCATCAACAGCATCAGTAGCAGCGTCGGCAGCAAATCAATTGGATGTCTTATATTTATCAAGTAGAAGATATTGGACTACTAATACATATGAATATATGATTAGAAGAACCATATAGATAAAGTAACTTGGTGATTTTATTTACAAAAATAAATAAATCGAAAAGATACACTGAATATGAAAAGCTTGCACGTAAACCCACTTTGAATGCAGTAAAAAAGCTTCTCTTATGTCGTTATCATGTTGTCACTTTGTTCTCGACAAATTTTTTCTCCTATCCTATACAATTAGAACACACATTCTCCGTTTGGATATGGATATAAAGAGCCAATTTCTGCTTGGACGAAATTGCCATACATGTGCAAGGCCAATAACTTTATTGACTCATAACACACTGTGCGACAAATTTTCTTTTTTGCAATGGCCAGCAAGAGAACTATTTAGATGGCGAGACTAAAATTAAAAACCTATGTGACTCGGTGTTTTTCACGCAAAAAAATTAAACTCCCCATTTTGATTGGGCGTTGCAAGAAATATTTTTTTTTCGCACTGCAATCGTTGATAAATATTAGTAATTTAGTTGAATTAAAATTTCGATTTAGATTCTAATATTGTGACAGAAGTGTTGTTAAATGATTATGGATAGATATATGGAAAAGGTTCCAATTTCATCGATAATTATCGATTATAATTTCTAGTGTTGTTCCATTAATTTGTTCAAAAGGAATGCATTGAAGTATGTGGGAAATGTCAAAGATACCTCAAATCCCGCTTAAAGATTTCCTCCGATTTTCTCCGCTTTCCTCCATGTTTTCATACAGAATAATTGATTCATTCAACTCGTTTCTTCGTATTCAATCCAATATTTGGTTGATGATAAGATGCTAGAAAGATCAAATACAACACATGTCACATTTTGTCCGAAAAATTGCAAAGTAACTACTACGGTTGCCTTCATTCTTCTTCAAAAGCACCCCTTCTTCCCCAATTTGTTTGCTTCATTTTCCGTATTTGTAAAGCAATAATTTCGACTCTGAGCGAATGTCGTCAAAATCGATAAAGGCGGAGCATGGAGTGTGAACAATACCAACAGCGGCCGACCAAACGGAAATTTGATTGCTTCTTTATTTACAATTTGCTATTTTTCCCGAAACGATATAAATAAATTTACTTACGTGATCTGAGTAAATATTAGCATAAGTCGGATACGACTGAGTAAAGACTCAAGACATCAGTGTCTCTCACGTGAAGTTAAAATACAAGTGACTAAATTTATTAGGAATTTTCAATCAAGAGAAATAATTTTATTTTCTGTGTGGCTTGTCGGAATTTCAATTTTCGACTTTCATACTTATGAAAGTGTGAGTCATTTGGTTTCATAATATTTATTTTTGCCCTGCTTGGAATGTCCCCATCTTTCTGTTTTTCGTGTCACATGAAGTGGCATCGAGGCAGTAATCTCCAAAGCGCCAACAAGGGAAGCAAAATCATTAACTCTAAAAAGCAAAGTCAAAGTGCTTCGTTTCATTGTCTGTGATCGTTGCGCGATTGTCGCAAAATGAAATAAAAAAATACTCTAACAGCGTTTTACTTGGATGTTTGCCGTGGCCGCGATTCCATGTAAAACTATACAGTATATACTATTCTACGACAATGCGAGTCGCAATAAAAACAGCTAGCGGTAGCGCGCGTCTCTCTCTGTGTATATAGTTTAATGTTGATTTTAGGCACGCATACCGTCCTATGAGTATAAGATCCATGTATATGGACCCTTTCTGTGTTTGTATTTGTGTTCGTGTTTGTGTGTTGTGCTCTCGTGTGTGCACGACAATACCAACGTACGAAACAGACTAGACTAGCTGTGACAAAGGCAGCTCGGAACGGTCAGTCAAACAGAAAAAAAAATCATCGACACTCAATTGTATCTTGATAGAATGATTTTTATATGATTATTCCTAGGCATCTCAACAGAGAGCCAATTTCAATTATACTAGCCAACTTTAAACTCGAAGTTCGATCGGCTGTCGCTTACTATCGTGAACGAATTTTTTTCTTACTTATGTTTTCATCGTGCTTTGAAATCGCTCAATGGAAGTGCGTTGGTGTGCTTGTGTTCGTTTCTCTGACATTACAGTAGATGTTGCGTGGATTCATGTGTATGGAAACAGTGTGTGCATAGAATGTGCCGTTCAATGGTGAAAATACGAATTACGAACCATCTCAAAAGAATGAATGTTACTCATATTTAGAGTCATGTTCTCAGTTCGCACACATAGCAATGCCGATGTGGATATGTGTTCAAAATAGATTCGTCGCGTTACGACGTCAACGACTTGATGTTCGTCGAGTTGTCTGTAATCATCGTGCTATAACAATTACAGCACTATGGAAAAAGATAGTTTGAAGCCCGCAAATATTGCGTTCTACTATCAAATACTTCGTGATTGTACAGCCGTATGCTGTTAATACGTTTCGAATGTGTCATGGATGGTAAACAGTTGTAGTGATTTGGTTGCTTCGTTGTTGAATACTCTCACCTTACCGACCAATTGGACCAAAGAACAGGCTATACACTGCAGTCATGTTGCTCTAAAGATTTTTTTCGTTGTATGTCGCATGCTTTCTCTATCCTGCTCGGTGATACAGCCTGTTTCTCTTACTCATTGTTTTTCCATCTCATTTAGTTCTCTTGGCATTTGCTTTCACATGTTCTCATACCGTTACTGTTTGTTGTCGCTGCCGTGTGTATTATTATCGAAATTGTCTCTATTTTGTCATTTTCATTAAACAGTATTTTTCATTTTTGGTTCGTGACTATTCTATATATTTTTTGTGATTAATATTTATTGGTTTTACGTGTATATTAAATTTCTGCAATTTTGTTCGAATTTATCGATGTAGCTCGGATTTTTTTTAAGTGGTTTCAATTAGAAATGAGCACAGCAATATAAAGCTGAAAATATTCAAAACTTCAACAAAGTGTATAAGCAAAAAAAAATTGTATACATTTGTATAAATGCAATACAACTTTGACAGTTCTACTAATTTTCTTTTTTCGATGAATGATGTGATTTATACCAGATCAAACCCCAGCGAGATGGGGGGATAAATGAATGAGCGTACTTGTAATGTGGGTGTGTATTCAGAAATAGTGCATTTATACTGTAATACCCATCCCATTGTTGCACACAACCAGCTGAAAGTGTACAAAAAAGTGTAGTGTAATTGGATTGAAATGTTGCATTTGTCATTATTCGGAATTTATATATTTATGTTGTTTTGAGTGACTCTCTTTCCCTATCGTTCGCTCACTCACTCGCTCTTGCTTTTTCTATCTCTCTTTCTCTTTCTCAACTCAAAAGTTATTTTAAATTAGAATATGTATCTTGTGTAAACGATTCGATAGAATGCCGATCAATGTGTGTTTATGGAACAGATTTGTAGTCTAGTTTAATTGGGCGGACATCAGTGAATATTTCTTGTTTAATGTTTATCGTGTGTTTTGTTGTTGTTGTCGTTTTCCTTCTTATTTCTTTTTTGCATGAGCCACACAGTTACAGTCTTAATATTCAACTCATTGCTCAGCTCATGTGTTTACTGGTAATTTACTGAAATTTGTAGAAAAATGCAAGTAATAAGTGACGTCCTTGACAAATTTATTTCTTCATTACTTTGAGCTACTTCATTTTTGCACATTTGGTTGTTCAGCTCCAGTACAAACAAAGCACGAAAACAAAATACCCATGGAGAGATTGAGCCGATTGCGGCGGACAGAAGGGCAACGGAGATCGAAAGCAAGTGTAGCGCACACAAAACTCAATACACGTACACGTACACATTGCATAGGCATAAACATTACGCTTGCCTATTACACTGTTCGACTTACTCTGCTCTTAATTAGAACATAAAAATTACTAGTTTTCTATGGTCGGCCAAAGTTATTATCATTGTCATTATTATTATTATTCACGCATTTACAGAAATACACATGATTCATTTGAATTTTAATGCTTCTGAATCAGACCCAGAATCAGAATCTCTCTCTTCGTATGTGTCATTCAATTGGTTTTTGTGATAGGTACATTGAACTGGAGATATTCATGTAGATATCCAAATTGATAGCTAATTGACAGGACGTATGATTCAAATTAGAGCCAATGTTGATGTGAATCGAAACCAAATCGACGAGCAATATGGACGTTCGTTGTCATAATTGAGCGAGAAATTTGTTTAATTTTTTTAAAAAAAATATAGAGATCTGTTTAACAATCTCATGGGAAAACCACATTCTCGAAGATACTGATCAAAGTGAATCCATACATAGAAACCAGTTCTAATTTATTCTAATGCAAGAATGACTTAAAACAAAAGATTACGTTCATTTACGCAATCAAAGCATCCACTCAGAATGTAAACAGAGGAAAAATAATTCTCCGTGAATATATGCATATACATATATATAACACAATGAATGCTCTAATGATTCGCCATGTTCAAAACCAACTATTGTTCCATTCAAATAGCTTCATCGAGTCAAGTTTTCTGACGCCTCTGCGTTTGAATAAGCAGCATGTGGCACAGTTTTGATCCAATCATCACTTGCTTAATTTGTGCCATTTGTCTTATGATCTTTCATGCAAACAAGCAGCGTTTCCAATACGGCAAAGTATTTTTAATTTAAAATCAAAATACGGCGAAAACAATCTTTAAATTTTCCAATCAACGGACGTACAGTTCTTTTTGAATTAAGCTATTCTAATGATATACCGCTGGGCTAAAACTGAACATAAATTTCCTCAAACACTTTGCATTCGTTCAACACAAATGGAAATATCACACTTTAGGCAGATAGAGCTTCGTAGATTTAGTATATGACGCCTCAAAACAAATTTTACCTGTGAAATATACAGGCTTAAGTGCAACACAGTTGCCCACTGTGATACACTTTATGCGCTTACATATTATGTAAGTAGTGCACAAAATACGCGAATTAATGTATTTGAAGGGTATTTATCCGTTCGCGAATTAGCCAGAACTCTCACAATTCGAATGCATTTCGGCTTTAAATTCGTAACAAAATTTCAATGAAACCGTTAAATTCGATAATATCGACAGACAAAAAGAAGCAAATAATTTTCACTTTAACCGCTAGAACAAGATGGGGTTTATATTACGTATATGGAAAAGTATCACGGTCTCACTGGTGTCTTTGCGACCACCAAGGGTTAACAAAATTGGATGTTAGCTTAAATAGCATTGGATTTTTATGAAAATTCCATCGAATCATCATAAAATAAAGCGATAAAATTGGAAACACCTTAGGCGTTTGCTTTACATTTGATCAACGTCAACTGAATATCGAGAGAGAAAAAATTGCAATGCATTAATGGCCAATTGCTATTTATAATTAATATTGTAATAAAAATGTTCTCAAGTAAATTACTGAGTAAAAATGTATAATCACTTGTATAAGTTGAAAAAAAATCGTATTGCATCAACTCTTAAAATGCATACAGATGCATAGCGGCCACTGATGATCATCCCTCTTTTCATATGCAAGATTTGTTATTTCAAAATTGGTTTAATGTATTTTTTTTTTTTGCAGCAAAAAACACTATTTGTCTTTGTACTGAGTAAAATACTGAACCAAAGTAGTAGTACTTTCTTCCATAAATACATCATATTGAGCGTATAATTAATTACAATTACAGTTACAGTTTCTAAGTGAAAATTTGGAGAATGGATGTGATTCAAATGTTTATAGACCCAAACAAATCAAAATGAAAACGAAGTTAAATTTAAAACAAAAGTGAACACGAATGATTAAAACTTTAAAAGAAATTGCTGTTCGATTTTTGTGTTCTGCGTACGACGGCCAATTTCATATTATGTAGTATATGAACAATATCGAACTATTTGAAACTATTTGCCATTGAAGCAAAATGACAAATTAATAATATCTCTGTGCCAGTGATTCAATAAATTAGTAATTTGAACGATGTGAAACGTCGGTGAAATTAGTAATAAAAGTACGACCGATGTCGATTGAACAAATTGTGCAAGTTAAATGGATATACGAGAAGGTATGAATTTATCAATCAAAAGAGATTCGATATCATATTCATGTAAAGTCATCTTTTCATCATCGTCTGTATCCGACCAGAATTAATCAGTGGCAGAAAGTATATGACCATAACAGTTAGATAATAGCAGCAATGCCGTTCGTATGATCTTAGCTTACAGAAGAAACAGACAAAACTAGTTGGAATCGACAATAATTATAATAATTTTTCGTTATATGTGTTAAATTAATTGTGTCAAAAATCAAATTAAATATATTATACTCCGATTTACTATGAGGGTATTTGCCTAATCGAAGACAAAAGCATCGTTAGAAGGTGCGGAGAACCAACCGCTTAGTTACCGCACCAATTTCCAAGGAAACGTTCATTCAAGCCCCATACAAAAGACGACAACAATGGCCGACTTGGAAGCCGTTCTAGCTGATGTCAGCTACTTGATGGCTATGGAGAAGTCCAAATGTACACCAGCAGCCAGAGCCAGCAAAAAGATAATTCTACCAGACCCGAGGTAAATAAAAACATTATCTGCTCTTTCAATAGCATTCATAAATATCGATTTTCATTTTAATGACAAGAAATATTGAAGTGGAAACTTAGCAAAAATTGTTGGCCATGTCAAACTGGGCCAATCATGTTGGCATTGCAGAATGCTACTTGTCCACGATACTTCGTATAATTGTTGGAATGAATAAATGATTTCAAGATTTGTCCATCAGTGAGAGATACAATAGTCGATAGAATCATTGGAAAAACGACAAAAATATAGAGAGAGCGCTTCAAAAAAATTGGATCGATCAATCGAAGTTTTTGCAAGCTGTTAATTGACTGAAATAATAATCCATTTCAAAATCTTCTATACGTAACAATTGTTGCAGCAAATCGAAAAAAGAGAGCCCAATAATGCATCCATTGGCCCAAACGACCCCAGCGCGGAAAAATGCTAGAAAGAACGGCTGAGTGCGACCTCTTTACATGCCATGCTATGCCATGCTACAGCTCTTCAATCTTACAAAGGGTCCTCACGAACTTTTTTAAGGTTTTCTGCGAAGAAAAAAACTACATGTCAGCTGCAAACTTCCTGATCAATTCAAACTGCAATCTCCCACCGTAGAAAAGATGCTCAACGTAATATAGTTACTGTCATCTATGATTCTAATGTCACTTTTGACAACAGTTATCGCTTGACTAGGCCAAACCAGAAATCGATTCTTGGCTCAGTCGAAATGAAATAATATTGGCTTACTTTGGAATGCATTTATAATAAGTTTTTTTTCTGGTATCGTTGTGTTTGTCAACGCATACTTAGTGGTATCTGAATGCTTTTCAAGCGACCGTTAGAACTGTCATCAGAAAAAGTTAGAAAACAAAAGAAGAGTTTGAAATGTACACAAATGGCGATTGAGAAGAAAACTTGATGAGAGACCATCTCAATCTGTTTGATAAGAGAGACAGAGAGAAAAAACAAAGAGAGATAGAGAGAAAAAAAGTTTGCAAACGATGTATTACACTATGTGCACACACATGTAAACATAAATTCAGTATTTGTGCACGTGTTTCTCTGTCATATGCGTCGGTCTTTTGCTTTTACTCCATTGTTTTTGTTTACTTTTGTCTATCATTCAGTTTTTTACTCTTTGTGCCTTTCAATACAGCCATATTCAAGCTACCGCAGGGAAATGAAAGTTCCCATTACTAGGGCAGTATCTTATAGTAGTCATCTTATGCTCTCATTCAAAATCATAACGCAAAAAGGGCCTATACTTCAAACAAACATCTCATTTGTGAAAATGAAAAAGCAATTTTCCTTGGTTGCTCGTACAAAGCATGTTTCAATTCCAATTCCAAAACAATATACGTATAGCTTTGTAGATTATTTGTTCTATGCACAATTTGCTGCAAGTGTTCTTCATAGCTAGCTATTTAATAGCTCTGAATTTCGTCAAGTAATATGCCTCAGTTAATTTTTGTCTTGACTTCCCGATAGAACCAAACAAAAAATTGAGATGAAAATTCCCATGGCTAAGAACATGTTTGCATTTGAACATCGGCCACATACTAATCGAACTATGAGCATATAAATAGATGTTATGAACCAATATATAAAATTATAAAAATTGAATGCTTCAGCTTCTCAGATAAAACGGCAGTGAGCTGTAAATAATATTTACACTGAACGATATCAATTATGAATTGAATTTTGTGAGTAAATTCCTGTTCAACTTGCTACACTTCAACAAATCGTATGCTTTGAGTTATATCCAATCCAATGTTTTATTTATCAATGTGATGAAAAAATGTAAAGAAGCGGAGTGTTTTTCATTGTTATTGGCGATACTAAAAAGTATTAACGCCCCTGAAACTATCCCGAGCACCGATTTCCATTTTGGTACATTTTTACTTGACAAATGTAGGAGAAAAGAAACACTAGAATACAATTAAATTTGAAGGGAATCACTTCTAGTTTGGGGCCGATACACATCATCGAACATATATTCTCTCGGAGTTTTCTGAGTTGATGGGATCAAAATGGTGTACATGCTTATATTTAAAGAACACATAGACCGATTTATAATCTTCTGTAACATATTGACTTAAATTTTGCGTAGAAGATGGATCAATAAGTGACATAAAAGTATGCGCCAGCTTGATGTTAAACAAAGATGAAATGTTTTTTTTTTCAAGTATTGACACTGCAGGTCTCTTTAGAAGGCATACAGCTATCGGTATTTAGATGGAATATTCATTGTAATATTCGTTCAATATTATTCTGATCAATCGCAAATATATAGAGAACCCTTAAGTCTAATTCTAAGCCAACTTTCAGTGGATTATTTGGTTCATTTAATTTATTCTCTTTTCAGCGTTCGGAGTGTAATGTATAAATACTTGGAAAAAGAGAATGAAATAAGCTTCGATAAAATATTTAACCAGATTTTAGGTAAATCTAAACACAACAACTATAGTTTCCGATCGATTCATGCGATTTTCTTCTTCCATGCAATTCAAATACGTTTAGGTTATCTCTTATTCAAAGACTTTTGCGAAAATGCATCTGAAGAACCAGTTCCACATCTTAAATTCTATGAAGAGGTAAGTGTTTGTAATGGCTAAGTGGAGAAGATAATTTTAAACTAATAAAAGCATTAGTCCATTTGATTACGAACTGGTAGTTTACGTAATCGAAAATGCGGTATTGTTCAAATTCCGATATGATTCACATGCAAAAATATTTCTCTCAGGAGCTTTTACTTCTACGATCGGACTTAATCTTAACAATAATAGTGATTGACTGTCTGCTGTTAACAACAAACAATTGAAAACCAATTTTCGTATCAAAGATACGTTTATGCAATATTGCTCAAAAGTGATTTAACTTTCAGTCAGTGATTTCGAGTTTCGATATTCGCTTGTTTCTAAATTCCTTTTCAAAATAAAATTTCGTCCCAAACTTTGCGCATTCCTTCGTCGGTTCACTATTAATCGACTACAATAATAGACAAAGTTCGTATTTAAAAAATTTCGTGTTATACTCTTTAGACCAATGGTGGGTCTCACGTATTCCGAACTTAGCAAGGCGAATTCCTTAGTTTGGACAAAATTAACTCGTAAAATTCAATATTTTGCGTAAGATATGCTACGAGTCAATCTGAACATTTTTACCATCGCACCTAATAAAGTCATTTTTATCGGCATTAGATTCATTCATTACTCAGTACATACTTGTCTAATATTTTGGACAATAATTTTTCGTATTTTCCTGAAAACAGATAAAAAACTATGAAAAAACGGAGTGTCATGACGAACGACGTAAGTTGGCGAGAGAAATCTATGACAATTTCATCATGAAAGAAATGCTATCTCACACACATGTTAGTTATCGAACTTTCTTCGAATACACTTCTTTTTCGATTGAATTTGTAAAATGCAATTGTTTTTATGCGTAAATACAGGAATATTCCAAAGATGCTGTGGCCCATGTACAAAAATATCTTATGAAAAATGAAGTTCCCGTTAATTTATTCGAAGTATGTACTCGTTAGGTTATTAACTGAAAACCATTTATTAAATTATTTATGGGTCAAACCAACCTGTTAGTTGCTAAAGTGTTATTTCAATATTGTATAAAATATTCACTTCAATTTTCCAAATGTCTACTTTATTATTTGCTGATTTTTCCTCCACTCAATGACAATCCTCACAGCCGTATATAGAAGAAATATTCAACCACTTAAGAAATGAACCATTTCAACATTTTTTAGAAAGGTATTGTCTGAAAATAGAAAAAATCCAAATTTCGTTTGTACTTTGAATTGAATAATTATCCTATTGCAGTGATAAATTTACGAGATTTTGTCAATGGAAGAATTTAGAACTAAATATTCAGGTAGGATTATACGTTAGAACATATATAATATTACAATATGTGTCCATACCATCAGATCTCGATATATTTTCATATTTCTTTGATTCCAGTTGACAATGAACGATTTTAGCGTGCATCGTATAATCGGTCGCGGTGGTTTTGGCGAAGTGTATGGATGTCGAAAAGCTGATACGGGTAAAATGTATGCAATGAAATGCTTGGATAAAAAGCGAATTAAAATGAAACAAGGTGAAACATTGGCATTAAATGAGAGGACGATGTTGTCGTTAGTTAGCACTGGCGTGAGTGATTCTAAAAGCAAAACTATGCTATTACTTTCCCTGTGTGTGCGCGCTAAATACATACGAATTACCCTTTGTCTATGCAGGTGGATTGTCCTTTCATTGTATGCATGACATATGCATTTCATACGCCCGATAAATTGTGCTTTATATTGGATTTAATGAACGGAGGAGATCTTCATTACCATTTATCACAACATGGCGTATTCAATGAATCCGAAATGAAATTTTATGCAGCCGAGGTAAGTAATGGAACTCGTTATTTTGTATAAAAATCAAAATTTTCCCAATGATTTCGTCTTAATAAAATGGTTTCGTATGCATTTCACAGGTGATTTTAGGATTAGATCATATGCATCGTCGTTTTATTGTTTATCGTGACTTAAAACCAGCCAATATTCTATTGGATGAAAATGGTCATGTACGTATTAGTGATTTAGGATTGGCATGTGACTTTTCGAAGAAAAAGCCGCACGCGTCTGTCGGCACACATGGATACATGGCACCAGAAGTATTATCGAAGGGAACACCGTACGATTCGAGCGCCGATTGGTTTAGTTTTGGTTGCATGCTTTATAAACTACTAAAAGGACATTCGCCGTTCCGACAACACAAGACAAAGGATAAACACGAAATCGATCGGATGACATTGACAATGGTAAATACATGGTATAATATTACGTTCCACTAATGCGCGATTTAAACTGTCTATCAAGTTCATTGTGCTGTATCCTGCGATCAATGCTCTAAATGGGCATTGCGGTTGCTGCATTTTACCACAACGGATTAAGGAAACATGTGTTCTTGGATAAATGGGCATGCTTGCATATTGCTAGGTATGCACTATGCATTATTATATGCACTATGCAGCGAACTGCCGACTTAAAAAAAAAATCTTTAAAAGATTTTCTCCGACCCAAGACATGTCTAACAAAGCCGTTCAAACTTAGAAAAGTTACCGCTTACATGTTATACTTGAGCCAACAGGATTGAATAGTTTGTTTTTCATAGTACGAAAAATCGTCTCTGCGTCGCAACAAATTTTTTCAAACTTATAAGAGAATAGTTAGAATTCACAAGCTTTTGGTTGATTTACTAACCGCTGCTTTCGTAAATCAAAAACAAGACAAAATATACTGACGCGATTTTATATATTTCAATCACTTCAGAATGTGGAACTTCCCGATTCATTTAGCAAAGAATTGAAAAATCTGCTGGAAGGATTACTAATACGTGATGTGGATAAGCGATTGGGATGTCGTGGTCGTGGTGCCGAAGAGATCAAAGAGCATCCATTTTTTGCTGGTATCGATTGGCATCAAGTATACATACAAAAGTACACACCTCCATTGATTCCACCTAGAGGCGAAGTAAACGCTGCCGATGCATTTGATATTGGTTCGTTCGACGAAGAAGATACCAAAGGAATTAAACTCACTGAAGCCGATCAAGAACTTTACCGATACTTTCCACTCACAATATCTGAAAGGTAGGCTCATCAGTTCGGACTTCTTTTGCTCCAAAATTCGGTGGTTCCAAGAATCCATAACTTTTGAATGGTCGAACACATTGACTTGAGATTTTTGTCATGGTTTATGTTTTTTGTTTCAAAAACTAATTTTCTATGCCGTTTTACGGGTTCAGATGGCAGCAAGAGGTGTCGGAAACTGTGTTCGAAACAGTCAATTCAGAGGCCGATAAATTGGAACAGAAACGTAAATCAAAGCAAAAAAATCGATTTGATGCCGATGAAAAGGAATCCGATTGCATTTTACATGGGTATATCAAGAAGCTTGGAGGTGCTTTTGCTTCAGTGTGGCAAACAAGATATGCAAAACTCTACCCAAACCGGTTAGTAACTCTATAGAGTGTAAAAATATTCAATGTTCGTTCACGCATGAATTCTAAGGCAATAATATTTCCTTTCGGATAGGCTTGAACTACACACTGAATCGAGTAATACAAAACCGGAGCTCATATTCATGGACCAAATTGAGGAAGTGTCACCCGAATTTGTTCAATACAAAAATGAACAATGCATTCAAATTCGATTCCGCGATGGTATCCGAGACGGTCGAGTTATTCTAACTAATCCCGTAAGTAATTGGTAGCTTGGGGAAATGTTAAATCGTCAATTTGATTCACATGGATTTGTTGTTTTTTTTTTCAGGATGAAATTGGATTAAAAGAATGGGCTTTGTCGCTACGGTCGGCACACAAGTTGTCACAGGAGCTGCTAGGTTCAATGGCACGAAAAGCTGGGAAGATTTACGGTACGGGGGAGAAGTCCACATCGGTCATGATTAATAATAACATAACTTCCTCTGGGGGTGGAAATGCAAATAACAGTGGGGTTGGTGGTGGTGGTAGTGGTGGTGGAAGTGGCAGTAGTAGTGCACTTAATAATCAAAACGTCGCAAAAAATACTAATGGAAACTAGCGCTTACTGCTGCGATCACGGTCGTTTGTTGAACCGGATCGTATACAAGAAAATGCTGGTCAAGTCAAGTGTAAAGATACCTAGAATGACACAGCCGATGATTTTAAAACCAAAGATGAAAATGCAACATTTTTACCGTTAGAAAACGCGATAAATTTTAAAACCAAAGTTAATATTCGAGTGTAATTGTGATGACATTACTATTACTGATATACAAATTACTGATTAGTCAGCCAAACAAACAATCACATAGACGTTAGAATGGCGTTAGACGGATAGTAATTGATAAATTGACGTAAACTAACAATCGGTCATATACATTCTACAACGTAAACTAATCTGAAATAGCGTTCAAAACTATATAACACCAGTAATGAGCAATTAAACATAGAATTCCCAATGATTTTCATTTTCCAAAGATATGCTGCGGACAACTTTGGTCAGTCATTGATAAGAACGGTTCCGATATGGATGAGACTTTCAGTTTTATTTTTTCGTACGTCATTTAACTATTTTCAATGGGTTTATCATATGTATTTAGCTGTGATGATGATTGAATTCATCGCAAAATTTTCTTCCCCACCGCCATATTGCCTACCAAACCATAAAGGTTACACGAATACTATCGAAACGAATTCGTTCAGTAATGATCTCATTGTTCATGCTTATATAATTCGTTCGTTTTATTTATGGAAATATCGAAAAATCTATTGAGAAATCCTTCCATCCCAAACACTACTCTTACGGAATCTCCATCGAAAAAGAGGCAAAAATCCATTTCAATATTTCACGTCCAACCCAAACGAATATATTCGAAATATTCAAATTCACATTGGAAGATCGTCGTTCCATTCTAATGAAGTGAGCAAATTTCAGGGGATAACGATTTTTGATCACTCTTATTGTGGTCATCATGTGTAAATTGTCTAGCATTTTTTCTTCTAAATCTTGCGGTTTGTGCAAAATAAAATGTTCTGGAGGAAGCAATGCACTCTGCCCCCCACTGGCTACGGTACTGATCAATATTGTTCACTTTCATCTTTTGATCGTTTTTCGACACGGAACGATCTTTTTTTGTAAACGGCAGAACTATAGTTCTATTGTGGGCGAACCATTGTTATCATGTTATCATTTTGATCGTAGAAAATGCATGTCATCTTAATGAGATTTTTGAGGATTTGAGGTCCATATTATTCAGCATTATAGATTACAAATAAGAATGATGATAAAGTCTCATTTCTAGAAGTATCGATATCATTTGCCAATTCCTGCTGTTACGGAACTCAAAAAAACAGAACATTTTTTAATTCCATTTTGGTTTCTTCAAAAACTCGCCAGTAGAAAAAAGGTCTATATAACACACGAAAAATTATTTAATCACTCAGAATCAGCAAACCGAAAAAAAATGTCTCTTAGCTCATGGGTAGAAATTTCTAACAAAGTTTATATAATAGGTATTGAGTAAAATAAAATGTTGACCATTATAAATTTACAAACAGTACAACTGCGGAACCTATAAGCGAATATGTGACTACATTGTGCATAACACAACCGATCAAATGAAATGAAACCGAAATGAATGTTCGAAAAAAATATATCATCAAGTATGATTTTTTTGTTGTGAGATGCTTGAAATGGCGATACTGCCAATAGAACGTTATTATTTTCAGCAAATTGAAGGCAAACAGACCGTATTCTGACCAAACTCATTGTTTTTATTAAAAAAGCTACCTTAATTTTCAAATCGAAAGCCATGGTTTGGATATGTGAGTCGAAAATACATATTAACAACAAAAAATTGAAGAAAAAAATATTCAAATCCAACATTTCCTATTGGGGTGTCAGCAATAGGTGTGTAACAATCAGTGTACAGTTTTGGAAATAATATTAGATGCACCACCATTTATTGAAATATCTTTCGTTTAAGGTTGAAAAGATTTCGATGTGCGTGTTCCAAATTTTTCAAGAGAATATTCACGAATAAATCACATTTTCATGTGTTTTTGATATTCCATTCTTACTCTCAAGTAAGAAATAACATGTGTGGTCGTACTCGAAATTTCGCTTAGAAGTCATATCAATCATAAATAACCTCATGTTCATGAGGTTCATCTAACAGATTTCATTCTAAGGCTAGGCTAAGCCATGATTGAATGTTTTTTCTTTTGATCAGTACAAACAATTTTATGGTGTCAAGCGAGCGACTCCTTAAATCCGATTAGGAATTTACCAAAAGAGTTTTCAAAATATATTTCCTGCCACTCCGATTGTGCAATGAATGTACTTGTAGTTTTTCCTAGTCACACACAGCTCCATGTTCATTCTTGTTATCGTATAAGTTACAAAATTGCATTGGTTCCTGGTGGTTTTATAGAATGAACTCAAACGAAGCCCAATCTGTGAAATTCTCGCATTGTAACAACAATTGCGGGTTTGAGTATGGAATTTCCCGCAAACCGATTTATACACCGAAGAAGTACAAACATAACTTGTGACTTGTTAACGGTCACATTCGTTCAAAGACTCTTGAATTCGATTTGAAGGTGTCAACTGATACAGTTTTTAAAACATACGTCTATCCTTTTTATAGTTCAAGTGAAAAAAAAAAATTGGAAACTATTGAAAATCGGTCTTTGGTAGTTTAAACAAACGAATTTGGACGTTTGTTCGGTCCCAGAATGTAATCAATCGATGCAGAATGTTTGGTGCTTACTGATATCAAAAAAAATCCTATTTATATCAAGAAAGTAATGTTATTTCCGAAAAATGGAATTTACAATCTCCTGACTGGCTATTTCAAAATTCATGATCAAAAATTAAAACTCATCAAAAAAATGTCTGGAATCGAATGCGATTTAAAATGTGCGCTGAATGTCCAATCTTTTCGAGTATCATTCTCATCTGCACAAAAAGTAGCCCTCAGTATTTTCGCCAGATTTGTTTACATTTTTTTCGTTTCACAAAACAATAGGTGTCGTTAGTGGTTGAAAAAGCATCTATTCATAGTAAAGATATATGAAAATAGAAGAAAAAGGAATGTAAAAGCAAATTTCGGTGTGACATTAGCAAATTAGAAATAAATAAGATGTAGATTTCAATGTGCCCCCGTAAACTTAAGACACGAAAAAAAAAACATGTACATTTCCATTTCATGCGAAAAACTAAACACGCTAACATGTTAATCATCGACGACAACATAAGTAAAGAAGCGCCATGCCAATTTTACGAGAAAAAAATTCACCAAACGGAAAACTAAACAAACAAAAATACATCATTACCCCTCACTCACCTTTTTGAAGAACACGTCGTTAATAACGCAGCATTTTAAATCGGATCAACAACAACAACAGCGTAAAATGAAAATTAATTACTGTTCAAAATTCAATACTATAATATGTATGATATGTATTGTTTATCGTCTTAAGATTTAAAAAAAAATGGGTGTTTTGCAAAACCAAAAAAAAAAAAATTAACCAAATGAAAATCAATACCAATTTAGTACATAAATAATTTAAATAGGGAATATTTGAATGATTGACAATTTTCAAATTGTTTCTTAATGGTATATAGGGTGTTAGCGAACATCGCGTAAATATTTTGGCCACGTATTCCTGAGTAGTCTATGTGGTTGAAATTTTGCACGCAATCCTGTTACACCCTATATAATAACATATACCAGCCCGACTGAATATAATGAAAATAATTGATTTGCATATTATTTGCTGCCCCTTTTTTCATTTGGTTTTGTCGGTACAATTACATTTGCCGTTTTTATTTTGAACACTAAAAGTGACTAAAAGAAATATCAATTCTAATGGACAAATCACCAAATTCAATTTAATGCGTTTTATAATCCAAATAACGTACAAATACAATGCCTTCGCTTCCGGAGTCAATAGCAGAGAGAAATGCCGTAATAAAGACGGTCTATGCATATGCAAATATAAATCTTGGCAACATTCATTTTAATTTTGGCCAACTGCTGCATATACCATGCCTATGAAAAATTTGTTGTCTCCATCAAGGCGACATCCTTCGGTTTATTCACATTAGTTTTCTTTCTTTTAGTTTATTCCATTTTTATTTTTATTTTTATTTTGTTATTTTTCTGACTCCATGTCCACTTTTTTATTTTATTATTTTTATTATTTTTTTCTTTCATTTTCATTTTTTTATTTGTAGGTCTTTGATGTCTACAGAGATTTGCAACTTGCAACAACCAAAGAAAAAAAATGTATTCGTTAATAATAGTAGTCAACTTAGAAAAAAAAAAACTTTTGGTGTTGGCGTATAAAACTCTTTTGATTCCACATATTCATTTAAGCTGTAAACTTCGAAATAGTTAACGTAAACAAATGCAAATGTTATACCAAAATGTGGCAATTTTCCAAGACAAACAAAAAAAATTAATCGTCTCTTTGTGTTTCTTTTCTCACGTTTGACACAAAGATTTTTTTTTTAAATGAATTTAAAAGCCACATTCACAATTAATGTTCATGAGTGTGTTTTAACAGTGAAAATGAGAAAAAAAAAATTAGTAAAATGAATCGTAACAATCAATTTATATGTAAAAAAAAATGTGGACAAACAAAACCAAAAACACTATCAATTAATTGAACATAGAATCAATAAATGAATAATAATTTAATCGAAATAATTAGTTTGTTAATTTCATTTGAATCATTCTTCAGAACAGCAAAATTTTTCCGGCAAAATATTTAGCAAGGCAATCGACTACAATTTGGATCGGAACCGTAATGATTGAATCAATTTTGAACAAAAGCTGTTCAATCAAAATTTCAATCTCCATAATATTCAATGGAATATGTCTTGCGAATAGCAAGGATAGCTTTCACACAGATTAGCAAATGAAAATTGAACCATTTGTACGAGCACAACAAGAACAGCTCGGTGCCAGAGTGCCCTTAGTTCTCGGCCGATTTGAAGCAGGGAAGCAACTTTTCCAGAGACCAGTGGCTCTATAAATTGCACTGGACGAAAGTTGTCAGCAGAATGCACACTTAATGGATACACAGAAACGTGCCCATATCACTTAGCCTACCGTTTCAGAGCCGTTTTTAGTCCAATTCATTGAATTAACAACGTGGATAAATCACAATAAAATATGGACGAACACCAAATAACTTTGCAGTTGAAATATTTGATTTATTTTTCCATTTATATATAAATTATCTTCATTTCATTTCCAAAAGAAAACAGAAACAAAACAGCAAAAAAATGCATGAATAATTATTATTACAACGAAAGGAATTCGAAACCTCTTATAAAATGGAAGGGCTATTCATTTTCACTTTTTCTTTTCATAAGAAATTTACGTGATACCAGTCGTAAAAAGGAAACTTAGCAGCCTGCGGCATTTGAAAACCACTGTACTTTGGTTAAAATTCTATTAAAAATGAAATGAAGTTACATTGCACTTAAATCATCTTAACATTGGAAACAGGTACAAAATGTCGATTTCCTTCAAAATACTATTCCATTTCTTTCTCTTTTTTTTGGTTCGAAAGCTTAAATTTATCTAGCTAAATTGTTATTATTGAATGAAGAATGTTTTTCACTTATGAAAACTAACTAGCAATAAGAAAATAATCAAAATCATCATTGATTGTTTGTTTTTGTTATTTTTTTGTTGTTGCACGGAACGCGCAGAAGATGCGCACTAACTTTCAATACCGTTGTTGATTGTATTTGTGGCACCGAGTATACCAACTGTTCCTGGAACCTACAAATGAAACATCATTAGCTATACTTTCAACGTTACAAATGTGTCTTTTTCTATTTGGTACATACTTCTGGCTTTGGTCGATGCGTATCGACCGCTTCAATTGACAATGGGATGTGTTCGACTTTACACCCATATGCAACAGGCGTCAGCTTGATAATTGTGTGTAACGGCACCTTTAAATATAAATATATTGGTAAATAATTAAACATCAGGATATATCGGTGTATTGCAATACACAATTATTTCGTGTTCTAGGTACTCACTTCGAGATATGGAAGTTCCTCTGAAATAAACAAGAAAAAAAAACATAGTTATTACTTAGTTGACTGAAATTCGTTTCAAATATTATTGAAGTTTAAATCATCACACTTGTTTGTTGTTTGTTTATAACTTTAGCTCAGCCTTCTAATAATAACAAGAAACATTGTTTGGATTCAAAATTGCTGATGCGCCATAAAAACACTGCAAGAAGTTATGTTTGTACAAAATGTGTTTTTTTTAAACATGTTTCTTTCTTCTTATGAACAATGTTTTCCAAACATGAGAATAACGACAAGAATTGAGTTATATAAAAGCCAACTTTCAGTGTTCTCAGAACATTGGTGTTGAACGTGTACATCGTTAAAGTAAAGTAATGTTTCGTTTCGTGTTTTCGTTTTTCGTGCTAACGCTGTTGAATTGCCTAGCGAAAGAGGTTCATTTCGAGTTTTCAAATGATCCAAATTACCCACAGCTCGTAAGCATATCGAATGTGAATTATCACATGGTGGCGAACAAATACATTGACTTCAGTGCGACTGTGACCATTTATGAAGAAATCAACGATGGAACCAATGTAAGTAGCATCTTCTGTGAATTTCAACTGAGTGGCTTTGCTGTGTATTGCTCTAGCTAGTTTCGTTTGGTTTTATTTTTGTAGGTACAAATCAGTGTGTCACCGGATATCCCATATGCACGTTTGATCAACAATATGGATGTAAACTTGTGTACATTTTGTCGCCGAGAGTGGCCGATGTACGGCCGCTTGATTGAAGCCACTAATGGACAATTTCCAGACCGCTGTCCAATAAAACCCGGCGTGTACACCATTCAGAATATGAGAATCGATCTTGACAAATTCCCCTTGCTTTGGCGTGGATTCAATGGAGCTGCATCGATAACCCTTCATAAGAACGGACGCGTATTGACCAAATTTAATCTTCAAGGTGGCATAACATTGTAAATTATTGTTGATTTTTGTTAAGTATCAGTGATGTACGAATATCGAATGAATTGAAAATAAAACATCTCAAGACACGCATGACTCTGTTTTTTTTTGTGAATAGTTCAAGCAGAAAGAAGATTTTAGCTTTCATTGACTCACCTGCAGGTTTATCTAAGAAATATGCTAATAGGCACCTAAGTACAGCTTGGTGTGATACAACCAAAACATTTCCCTGTCGTTCCAATTCCATTATGACCGGTTCGAGGCGAGCAACTAAATCTTCATAGCTCTCACCACGTGGATACCGGTAATAGAATTTGTTCATATCGCGCGATTTAAAATCTTGTGGAAATTTGTCAGCGATTTGATCATAACTCATTTCATCACAGATACCAGCGTCAATTTCATTTAGAGCTTTCCATCGTTCCTGTGGTGCTGGAACATCAGCTACCGTTTGAATTGCGCGTTTAAGTCTTGAAGTCCAAACACGAAGACCCTCGATTTGTTGTTGATCAATGAATTTTGCCAATGATTTTGCATATGAATAGCCCCGATGACTAAGATCGGAATCACCACCAATCAGCCCAGCCAAATTATGTTCGCTCTCGCCATGCTGTTAGTATATGAGAGAGATAGAGAGAGAAATTGTTATCAATTTATGTCCATGATGTTGCAATCAAAAATTGAATTCGTCAAAACATTGAGTTTTTCCAAGTTTTACTCCATTCAACATACCCGGGTCAAATAGATGGTGCGTGGCGTTATATGAATATTCATCAGGTAATACACGATGCGAGACTGGATATGTCCTTCGTGTTTGTGAACCACAACTTTTTCGCCGGTGTTATAAATTTTCATATATGACAGCTCCTTTTCAATGATTTCGTCGAGTAGTTGATACTTTTCCTGGTAATGCTCGATACGCAATAAGAAATCCCTTAGAACCGCATCCGTGTTCATATTTGTGTAATCGGGACTGCTGACTTTTACTTCCTGCCATTACAATAAGCCATATTTATTGATTAGTGATCGAAATAGTTTTCTCTTGGTTATTTTTTTAACTTACCATTATGTTCTGTTCGATAATTTGAGGGTCATCACAGATGGATTCAACAAAAAATAACTTGTAACCCCACTTGTTGACTACAATTTCATGGATCATTTTTCGACGTTCAGCAGTTGAATTGGTAGCATCAAAAACCTGCCAAGAAACAATCATTAGGGCGCGTTCGACTGTGTAGTTTCAACCATTTCTAACGTTACAATCGGAACAAATTCAGGTATTATATATATCCATAATCAATATGAATGGTTTGGAGCGAAATTGTAATACAGAAAAGTTGAGCGGAAAAATGTCGATGATGAATGAGCGGAAAAGGGATAGCTATATAGTAAACTGTATAGTAAACTATAGTGAACTATATAGCTATTCCTTTTTATTTGACATTATTCCGCTCCAAACCATTCATATATTGATAATCGCAGTCAACTAGTGATTACATCGGAATTTTATTCAGTTGCGACGTTAAAAAGTGTTGGAGCTAAAATTGTCTAAAGAACTTTATATAACGATTTAGTGATCAAAATGATGAAATGACTCGATCAAAATGTTCGAATCTTAATAGCAATCCTATACTTACGGCAACTTCCCCCTTTTCCTGTAGCCATTTGCATGCATCTTCCAACGCACGAAGAGCACATTCTGTGCGTATGGCCATTGCTGCTTGGTTATCCGGCCGAAAGAATTCATGACTCTTGTAAGCAGATGTAGCATTGCGTCGATACTCACCTAAATTGTATACTTTTGTAAATATACCGATCCAATTTAAGTAGCGGGCTAGTTTTTTTGATATATACGTTTTTCCACGTGCCGGTAATCCAACCATAGCGATCACATGCGGTTTATTTACGTAATTAACACGTTCGCCTAAACACAATCAATGCGATTGATGGTAAACAAGAGGGAAAGATAGAAAAAAAAGAACCTTTCAATATTATTATATATTATTTGAATGAAACTCGACTATGTGAAAAAAATGGCGTTCGGACAATGCAATTGTCCATATTATGTCCTTTGTTTGTCCGTAGCCCATGACACACGATCAATCTTTTAGCTAATCATATTATTAAGTGGCATAAGGGTTATCACTTGGCGCTATTCTCTACATTATATTACACACCGATAGTAAAAGTAGGATAGTTGAATTGAAATAAATACGTGAAAATATTGTATCAATTTACCATCGCCAAATGTTTCCTTTGACAAAAATTTCCATCCCAACGATTTAAAATCCATGATCTCTCGATTTATATCCACTTATCAATTGAATAAACTATTAGTAATTTAATTTATTGTAATAATTTTCTTTTCTAGATTTGTAACAAAAATGTAAAGGCAAAACAATTTAAAGGCATCAAAGCACACGTCTGTTTTTGGTCGTTTCTAAGATTAGTTTAAACTTATGTGAACGTAAAATTTTTATTATATACTTCTTCAGCTGATTGATTTCAACCGAAACACACTCTTGATTGATAATGAAAAGTTAGATGAACACGGTGAAATTATGTAGTTATATACATTAAAATAATTTGGGGGAAAATTGCACTTGACTTGCTATCTATAAAATGCTCACTCGGAATAATGCTCAAAAAAGAAACTACAACGTGTTGAATACAGAAGAATTCAATGACAAACACCGACCGAAAGAAAATGACTAGTGACCGTTTTGTGATGGCTTGCTACAACTTTCTCTATCAATGCCCGATAAGTTTTGAAGGTTTTCTTTAAAAAAATCAATGGTGAAGGACACGAGTCAACACTTTTACTTGGATTTTTTTTTGTGAGGAACAAATTGTAATGAACAAAGTAATTCGAATAAATCGTCTATGCAGTGGAAAAATTTAAATCATAATATTTCAATGATTTTACGTTGTCAAGTATGTGCAAGTTTTGTAATGTTGTCTTTTTCATTTTTCTTTTTTTTCGGTCGGAATTCACTTGACATGTGTAATGTCAGCGATTGCACACATATACATGCCTCGTGCTCAACGAACAGCACACAGATAAAGGTCTTCTATTGAGCTATGTTAGTGGTCGAATGTGAATGCGCTTGTATTGAACTGAAACGTCAGGAAAAAGCGGTTGAGCACACATGTTTTTCGTGAACAGTTTGCACGAAGACGTTGTTACGTTGTTAAAAATAATAACATAAGCATGCGAATTGGTGGAAATCATGTCTTTTTTTAGCAATTTTCAATGATTTTTAACCCTCTAATTCATTGAATTTTCCCAGGGCTGGGAGTACTGGTACTTGGTTAATTTTTGGCCATATATAATTGAAAAAATATATTCATAATCCTGGATTCCTTGTGGTTTAGTGAGGAAATGCGATAGAAATTAATCATAGAACAATCAAATCTATTGTTTAGAAGTGTCAAAAATGTGTCTAACTTGAGAAGGGAATAATTGTTTTGGTAAAATTTCTGTTTTCGCGCACATTCTTGTTTATAAAACGACAACCGCGTAATGTAGACTAATAGTGCAAATGACAAAACTATAGAGGACACCTTGAAGAACAAAAATCCTTTTTGAAGCAATGTGATCCAACGAACGGTTTACGTTATACAGACGTTTAAATGTTCCCCGTCTAAAGGTGGTTGTATGCATTAGAGGGTTAATCATCGGCAACATTTCGATGGAAAATTTTCAAACTCAATTGGGAATCGTAATATTAGACATCATACTCATACATGTATAATATATATATATAATTCAGTGGGATTGAATTTGGACACGTTTAGTAGAACGTATCACATCACATATAATGAAATTCGCCGCGCACTCCACACGTATAACCGTGTGTTTTGCATTTAGATTCGAAACAGTTCTTATTTGTTCAAAGTCATGAGCCAATGTCAATGCCAATCTATCGTTGCTATTTCTTTTCCGATCCACTAGTTCTATTTATTTTGTAACCTCATGAGTACCTCAAGAGCGAAAGGACAACAAATCAAAGATTAATTTATAATGGCAAATGAGTTGGCTTTCTTTGCTTAGATGCGTTGTAAAAATATTGATGGCTTTGTTTGGATGGTGGTTTCAAATTGAACATGCGGTAATCAGCTCCTATGCAGCTGTTCAAGTTGATTGAATGCCACTTTCTTTGTGTGAGCAAAACAAAGTATTTCGTCAACCTAATTATTGCTCTTATTATATCTTGTTAAAAATGTTCTTTGTCCGAATAAACAATGACACGGAAATATTCAATGAACGCTGAAAAACGTTTGTTTCATTGCTAATTCGAAATAAAATTCAAATTGCGTTCTTCTCATTCGCTATTTTGCTGTTCAATATTAAATTGATTTAGTGCTTATATTCAAACTCATTAGCACATGTTGGTTAAACTATATCATTGGAATAATGTTGTAAATATAGTTATGGTGGACATGAAGAGTACCCAAGAGAAACCAATCAATTTACTCTACGCTAATAGAATGTCAAGTTTAAGTAGTTCAATTTATTTTACACTGTTTAGACGCCCGCCAAGTTAAAAATGCACTGAAGATTCGGCGTAACTTCGGTGTGAAATAACTTAAGTTCAATACTATTTGTAATACAAATATATATATTTAACTTAAGTTAAATTACTCCGAAGCTACACTCTTTGTCCGGTATATTTTTAACTTAGCATATATAGATGGCGTTCAAGGGAGAAAGTACTAGATTTGTATAATTCAAATAATGCAATCTAGTACAAAAATAATCCCAAATAATCCTTCGGAATTCTCAATAATGTTCAATAATGTTATTCATAATATCAATAAATAATAGCGAACTATGGTCAAGTAATTGATGCTTGCGTGCATTTGAATGCCTTGAAAACAAAGTGGGTCGATAGTAGATATAAATTGGTGAGACCTAGAAGAACACAAGTTTGTCAAACGTCGTAGCAATAAAGAGAAGTATTTTTTACTGCAACTAACAATGGTTGAAAGAATGTATGTTCATTTTTGGCGGGTCGTTCCGGTTTTGCACGATTTCCGCGTAACTGATAGAAGATAACAAGGAAGGTCTCGAGCACTATAAATTTGCTGAAGACGCCGAGTATCTATCTTTTATCAGTTCAGCGAAAAACACGAATTTTGTTGTACAATTGCGATTTTTTGCGTTTTTCGGCGTCTTCAGCAAATTTATAGTGCTCGAGGCCTTCCGCAACTTTGCTTCAGACAGTTCTCTCTCATCTCCTATGAGTTTCGCAGAAAACGCGAAGGATGATAAAAAAAAACATGCCATAGGCCGATGTTTTTGATTTGCGCCCAATTGGTAAGAGATAAGAGATAATGGTCTTCAGCAATGTTATAGAAGATCTTGTGTACTACAACTTTTTCGAAGACAACTAGTTGTTATCTCTTATCAGTTACGCGGAAACCGTAAAAAACCAGGACGAACCGCCAAAAATGAACATACATTCTTTCAACCATTGTTAGTTGCAGTAAAATATACTTCTCTTTATTGCTACGGCGTTTGACAAACTTGTGTTCTTCTATGTCTCACCAATTCATATCTACTATCGACCCACTTTGTTTTCAAGGCATTCAAATGCACGCAATCATCAATTACTTGACCATAGTTCGCTGTTATTTATTGATATTATGAATAGCATTATTGAGCATTATTGAGAATTCCGAAGGATTATTTGGGATTATTTTTGTACTAGATTGCATTATTTGAATTATACAAATCTAGTACTTTCCCCCTTGATGGCGTTGCATAATGATAATTCAAATTCAAGTTAAAAATGTACTGGACAAAAGGTGTAACTTCTGAGTCATTTAACTTAAGTCAACCTGTGCTTCTCTCCCATAAGAACCAATGTATTTGACGTGACAGTGAATAGCGGTAGCGACTAAATAAGATCTGCGGTATATTTAGCAACTATTCAGCGGCGCGAATTTAAATATTTGACATTTAGTAGTTCAAACTATTTCGCAATAGTACGTAAGTTATAAGTGTCACACACAGCGTGCTTGTTACACATTTATATTCTCTTTCGTTATTGAATAAATTATATTTTTATGAAAATGCCCACAAAACGATATTGCAAAATTAAATTTTGTGAACATGAATTTGGTACTTTTTTGGAAAATATTTCATTCTTCAAGTAAGTTTTAAAATTTTCACACATTTTCCCCAAAACGCAAGTGAAGTATGTTAAGCAACATTGAATATATCGTTTTGGTTCGAACCATAATGATCATTATTGAAAAAAATTGTTTGGATGTTTATTAAAATAAAAAACACATTTACACAGAGTACCTAAAGAAGCTGAATTGAGGAACGTTGACAGAATGTCATGTAGTTCTGACAATCAACCACGCTGTCTAATTAGGCGCTACCGCTATCTCGCGCCGCTCAAAAGAACAAGTTGACTTAAGTTGAATACATATATTTGTATAACACATAGTATTGAACTTAAGTTATTTCAATCCGACACCAAGCGACAACGATCTCTTATCAATATCATATATAAAGTAAACAACGATGAAGTAAACAATGGATTTGATTTTCGTCTAACGCAATCTATGACTATTGCTGATAATAAGAGATAACTTAATCTTCGGCAAAATAAACTTCATTTCCCCGTTATATGAAATCAATTTGTTCGTTGAACATGATTTTTGAGAAGAAAAAAAAGATTACACGATAGCTCTGTTTATGTATTAAATTCCACAATCCTTTGAGTCAATTCAAACATTTTGATAAAGTACGGTTAAAGTAGGTCGAAGAAAGTCTACAATTTAATAATTGAAACATTTATTTGTCTGATGTTTTCAGCAAATTGGGCGCTACATGCGCCAGTCACGTGCTGCATGAATGAAAACAACACAAATATTTCTCCTGAAATACGTTCAAATTTTCGCCCGTGCGCTCGTGTGCAGATAACTGACTTGATTTATTCAATTTTGTATTCGGCATGATGTTTTTTCATGACAAAATATCTATTTTTAAAACAAAAAACCTGAGAAACTGATCTTCAAACAAAAAACTGTGCGTTTTATATCTTGCCTCACTACAGTGGCGTATGCTCCTATCTAAAGAAATTATTTATTTGTATATTTTTCAAGGGGCGAATCACTACTGAATTGACTGAAAGTACTGGAAACAACTGAAATTTTTTTCTTGATACTGAAAAGTACTGAAAACCGGTTTTCAGTACTTCAGTGTCAGTTTATGCATTGAATGCGTCATACTATGACACTTGACTTATATCATTAACGCCATACAGTTTAAAAATTGATATTGAGGTAAAATGTTGGAAAAAATTGAGAATGATTTGTCTACAAAAGTGCCAAACTACAATAATAGGACATTCACTAGTTTGGAAATAAAAATACGCCGAAAAACATTTGTGTAAAAACTCCATTCTTGTTTTGTTTGGTTTTAGTCTTCGTTGTTTCAGAGATGCACTGACATTTCATAGAGTTGATGATACACACATCAATGTCATAGAAATTTTCATTCGACGAAAATTGCCAGACATATATTTTCGACATGAATCACTCTTTTCTGATGTCAGCTTCTTTGTTGTGTCTTTAAACTTTTCTGATTCAAATATAAGTGGACTTTATTTTTGATAAAATACGTTCAATTTCCATTTCGAATGCTAGAAAACAAACATTAAACACTAGTGTCAAGAAATTTTGACAATACTGAACTGCAATAAAAGTCATATATTTATGGCACACAGACTACCTCAAGATTAAAGATAAGCTCATGGACAAACAAATCAGAGCTCAAGTGCCTCAAATATGCAAGTTTGCAAACAAAGTGGCTGAACAATTCAATAACTCAACCAGCCGTGCTAATTTCATCTCGTCGATACGCAACGAACAAAACCAAAAATTTAATATAAAATATTGACAAATTGTTATCTTACATCCCTACAAAATGTATAGAAATAATGATATTTATCCGTGATTTTTACACAAACTTTAAAATAAGTAGCAACATTAACTGTGATATAGCCATCCATTGAGTTGGTGATTGACTTTTGACCTGCCATTAATTTATAATGGAAACTACCGTTTATGTTAATGTATTTGCAAGTATTGTAATTTTTTTTCTTATGTCTTTCGGTCTCTACTAAATTACAAATTCATAACTACCAACAGGGACTTGTTAGATTAGACGTAAAATTTTTCTTCAATGTATCACCTCTTGATAAATTGAATGATGACTTTTGCAGTCATTAGGGCCGTCACTACAGTGTTAACGCTTCAGTTAGTCTTTCATTTTTTACACGTTTAAGTTAGGCTATATTGGACCGTTTACATTTCGGCTACCTATGCATTTCCATGTATTGGTTAGGTTATCTTGTGTCAATGCTTTTTAGACCAAGTTGTTATACCAATAGAAAAAGACGATTACTTACAACTACTTATTGTATAAAATTACCATATATTGTACAAACACAAAAAGATCAGGTTTTTCACGACTCTTGGAGTCGTTTTCCTGCAAACCAAAATATTCAGCCAGTTTTTGGCGGTGTTAAATAAATAAATAAATAAATAAATTTACTAGGCACTGAAAAAACTGAACCGCTACTGAAAATCGATCACAAGTACTGAAAAGTACTGAAACCCGTTTTTCAGTAGTAATTCGCCCCTCGATATTTTCATTGATTTCTCATTTATGTGCTGATGTCTAGGCTGACTGATGTCATGAATATGAAAATGATGAGAATAAATGGCTCTTTTTTAGCACACCTTTCTTATAAATAATTTGATACATTCATGAATTTGTAAATCATTTCATAAGTATAGACAACGATTATCAGCGCCGATTAAAAATGGACAAACGTCGTCTAGACACTCATTGGAACAACGTAACGAATCGCAATATAAACATAGTCAGACAAGACAAGACAAGACAATTCAAAACCTTTCAAATGCAAAAACTTTGCAATGCTTTTGAAACTCTTATCTTCTGTTCAGACCTTTAAAATTCGAATAATATTACGAGCATTTGTCCATTTATTTAATCTATAAAACATCGGTCAAATAGATGGAGTTCCTCGATTTCTGTCTGAGTCAGCTCCATATACACTTTGTAGCATGAGCAAATAATTTACTGATTTTACAAACTTCGCTTCAAACGTTATTCAATCTGTTCCCAGGTGGCGTTTCTTTTCGATTTGATATTCACTCTATACATGTTGCTCGTTAATAAATTGACGAAAATATAGAAAATTGGCACAATGCCCGTCCTTAATCCAATTGTGCCTACAAACGAATATTTGGAAAATACTCCTTTGGTTGGACCGAAAAACGTGTTCGGTTCTGTTGCTAAGCATAAACAGGTGACTGAATAATTGCTGCTGCCGGGTGCTTACGCCCTGAAGCTAGAATAATATTAGGACTGATAATGGCATTTACAATGTATGTCTCATTTTAGCCCATTATGTGAGTAGTAATTTACAATAATAGAAAAAAATAGTTGGTATTTTTCGTCATTTGATTATACGCAATAGCTAATCTATGCAGCGCTTCAATCGGAAAACAAATACGTCAATTCAGTATTGTACTCAATCTATGTTCAAACGCTTCAGATTATATGACCGCACATCAAAAAACAAAATATGCTGATAAAGTAAAAAAAATAAATAATGGTCATGCCTTTTCCTATCACAAATAGCTCTCCAATACAAATTCATAAATTATTTCATTGATACACGACTATTTTGAGACGTCAATAATGTTCAATGAACGTTCCACTATTGGAGCAATAAAAAAAAGATTTTAAAATAGTGAGCGCCAACACTAATTGGACATAGTTGTTGTTATGTGTAACTGATCGATTAGCCCTTGACGACCTTTGGGACACATATGTCCCATTTTGTATTTCGCACATAATTACTACATTTGTTAACCGATTTTGATAAATATAGGCTTTTTGGAAAGAGAATGAATGTAGCTACCAAATGATATAGTATTATCATATATTGACAATTTTCACCAGCTCGCTCCACAGATGCCTCCAAAGTCAAAAAATCTTAACTTTTTTTCACATTTTTTATAATCTTATATTTTTTTAAACGGTTAGAGCTAAAACTTCGGAATATTAGGTGAAAAGATGCGGCGGGCAACCTTCCACTTTCTAAAACTACCTAACATGTTCGAAAATATTGCTCAGGCGATGAGATATGGCTCTGCGCGTAAGACTTTATTTTTGGTCTCATTTTTCTACATGTAACCTTATGAAGTGACTGAACGACCAAAAAAATGTTTCTTCTAAATAAAACTTTCTTAACGTTTTTGGGTAGCTGATCACGAATCTGCAATCAGAATTGCAAAATTCCAACCCGTTCAATCTTGGTCGTCAAAGGGTTAAAGTTGTGTATGAAGCAGAATATAGGACAACAATTTTCCATTTTTTTTTTTACTTTCACAGAAATAATAATGAATTTTCTTTTCCAAAAATTCGAAATTAAATCATGGAACTTGGTAACTGGTTATTCGATACGATATGCGTCGAAAATAACTGCGCACAATTCATATGACACTTTGATAATCATGATAGCTTTAATCTAGTGTTTGTGATAGAACTCCGGTTTTTTTATTGACAAAATATAAAACAAATATACCAAACTGCTTACCTCGTATGGGAAATGGTTTGGTCTGAACCGTTTCTGTTGATGGTAACATTCTATTTGATGCTGTTGGTGACATTGCACTTGAACTTGTGTGTTCACACAAAACCGCTCTTCAATTCAATAATATACACAAATTGTTGATGGCACGTCCGGCTTTCGATAGGTCACTTTTCAGAATCTCTGCTTCAAAATGTTTGTTATTTCGAAATTATATTTCACTGATCACTTAGCGTCCACTCGATTCACTTAGCATGGTAATGTTCAGATCGATTTGGATAATTCCTGTTGAATTCGGAAGCATCAGCGCACCATCACTACATCGAAAGGAGTCAAGTGATTTGAAATATGGTCATTTAAACTGAAATTTAGGTTCGATAAATGAATTGAAACTTTCAAATGACGTACGAACTTTGATTACGATGAGTATATATACATATACAATAAGATTTTTCGAATTAAAGCGAAAAATTGATGTCATGTTTTAACATTTTTAATTTTACAAATGCATAATAATCAATCTGATATTTGAAAAATAATTCAAATAATCAGCAACACAATATAAACATTTTGCAGTATCCTTTGTACGGTGGTTATTTCGTCACTCAACGATCACAATCAGACCTGAGTAACTATTCCAACAGTAATAACGGACATTAGAAATGATTGTTGTATGACTATGTTCAGGGTATATTACGCTGTCAAACTAAACTGCTTACATACACAAATAGCACCGAGAAAAACTATATATATTTAGAGATGTATGGTCGTGTTTGGTCCAAGTTTTCATTCTACTTTATTACAATTCGAATGAAACAATCTAATCTTCATTCCAACAGCTTGAGCATATGAATGATTAGGACTCCAGAGCGGATGAATAACCGATATCTGAGAATGAACACACATATATGTACAAGACTATTTTGCTATCTAAAATTTTGGGATTCACATTCAGTAGTTGTGTTCACTGGTCGTTCACTATGTTAATTTTGATAACTGATTTGTGCCGCGATCGATTTACTGGTAAAATGGTCTTTTATTCTACAAGTGGCCATTTGAATTTTCCACATTCAGTTTGGTGTGACCATGAAACTGTACCGAAAGAAGCCGCATATAGTACGCACAATTTTAATTAATCATCACTGAAACCATATCACAAACTGGTTTATATTCTTAGATAAAACATCACAAACATTCCAACAACAAGAAAAAAAAACACAGATAATTTTGTATTGATTTTGATATGAATGATTTCGGTACAGATGAACACACCGAAATTGTAGCATTCACATCATCAAACACCGAATTGACAAAACACAAAGCGTTGCGCGTGACAGCAACAACAAATACATACATACACACACAAGCGGCTACAAGCACATGCGGATTCTCAAACAGAAGAGGAGCTGACAGAAGAAAAGAGACAAGTCGACAGCTGCGACAAAGCTCATAGCAAAGGTTTACGGATGCAAAATCATCAGCCGTTTGGATACAAACGAAAAAAAAATTATTTAATCGAATCAATTATTGTAGCCGTATTATGAAAAAAAAAAAAAAAAAAAAAAAAATGCGCAAGCGTTATTCCGTACGTATGTTGTTCGGAATATTTTCAGTGGCACAGGACGAGTATATTGTGCCGAGCTAGAGAGAGAATTTTGTTAGAGAATTCACCCAATCAGCAGCTTCGTAGCTAAATCAGGCGACACAAGACGCAAAACGAATTCTATATGTTCGGTAGTGTATGAATGCGTCACTCAACTGTTGCCGTTGACGTTCAACTCAAATTATTCGTTATTTTCTTCCGAACCGTTATTTCGCTTTCTTTCATCCCTTTCAAACTATCAATTCTTTCAAAACCAATTTTTATGACTTTTTTCAGATTTTGTCGAATAAAAAATGTGCACCCCAAGTCTATCAACAGTAAAATGCAAACATGCACTCAAGCACTCACTTCACACAATTAACATCTAATCGTTTGGAAAGCACACCAATGAATAGTTTTCTCTTTTGTAGATTTTTTTTTTCGTTTTTATGAAGATTTTTATCTTGGGTACTAAAATAACGTGACATTATGTCATTTGAATCAATTATTACTGATAATGTATGCAGTTCCACGTAGAAAAAAAATTTTGTTCAACGAACTAAATCGCTGACTGCAGTAGAAACACTTTCAGCTAACTAATAAAAATTGTTGTGTTTTCATCTAGTTTTGTAAACGAATACTGTTTAGCGCGAATCATTTGTGAATGAAATGAGACAGAGAGCCCGGGAGTCTTGTTAAATTGTGTTAATTAATAAAACCGTATAATATTTTTACCGATACAGCCGAAAAAAACCACACTGAGCTTAAATCGCAGAAACACTTGTCAAGCACACGTGAAATCGAATATTAAAGCCACAACACCGAAGAGGAAACATCGTTTTAAAATTAAACTGTATTTATAGTTGTTCCTCTTTATTATCGTTCAGTTCGCATACATACATACACACAGCTGCGGAACATGCATACCTGTGAACTTATTCACAGAAGCTGTTGATACACGCGCGTCGCCATCAACGTCGTTTGTTTTTTTTCGCTCGCTGTTATTGTTATAGAATTGATTGTATATGCGTTTTTGTTTATATTTGTTGTTGCCCTTCGATTGCATGGAAGAAATGGAGTTCGGATCATTTGCTTTCGCTACTTTCTCATGAAGATCGAAAATTATCGATTGAATTTAATGCATTGATGCCGCTTAAAATAGCGCATCGTAATTTTCTGTATTGTCGTAGCTAATCAAATTGAATAAAGAAAGAAAATTTGAAATGATACGCAAATTATGGGCCAATATCAAATCAGCACCATCGTATCTTGTGATACCAGTATTACTTATTTGATTTTGCGTTATGATAATTAATGGAAAATTTTTAAGCGTCAAAATGTAAATTGATCATAAATATCAATTGTGGAAGATCTATTGTATATTTTTATATTATTTATTTTTTCATTCTCGTAATGAATACTTGCAAAAACGTGTGACACGAGCCGCAATCTAAATATAGAACAAATACATAGCGAAAATTTATTCCTAGTTCTGTTCTTGAATGTCAAGTTCAAGTGCATCGAGCTGGAAACTTGCTATAGTGGTGCATCAACAAAAATAGCAGCAATGTATGTGTTCCACATAATAGCGCTAGCTCTTCTCGATATACATGGCGTATTGCAAGCATGTAAGTATCATGACGTAGTCAGAAAGAAGAAATACATATTGCGATTGGAATGAAATAACACTGGGTTAAGTCAATATTTCTCTTTTATTTTTGATGAGGTGGTTGTTGTCTTATTTATAAAGTGTAGAAGAAAAACAGGCTCATCACTTTATATCTTTTTTCTGAATTTATAACCACGAGAAATTTCATAAAAAGTTCAGATTTCACAACTCAATAAAACTCATTTATATTATCTGGTCACATGAGCGGTATACGGTTGTGTGATTTTCCTTTGTATATTCACTTTTTGAACAATGCGCTTGAGTGTCGCCGGTTTTAAGGGAAACTTCTGATTATTCGGATCAAATATGAATACCTTTCGTCGGTTATTTTTATTCAGATGAAAATTGAAAGTACTACATTTTTTTCCTGTGTACAAATGTGATGACTGTACAACAAAATACTCGTGCCACAATATCTAATCAGTTTCATGCATTACAACTGAGGTCAATAAAACCACAACGTTTATTTACCTGATTCCATTCATCGGGGAATAAAGCTACAGATTTGATAACCCGAAAAAAAGTGTTCACCGAAAATGTAAACAAAAAGAAGTAAGTGATGGACACATAGAATGTTTTCAGTGTTGTTTATATTGAATGAAACACACTTTTAGAGATGCATTTAATTGTTTTAGTAGCTTAAAATTAATTGTATCCTAGCAAATAAAAATTAGAAAAAAAATCGTATAGTGTGGAATTCAAAATAGATGATTAGCAGATTTAAATTATATTCGCTGATCGAATATCTGGATCGTTGTCTTCACTTTATGCTTCGGGTTCGGTCATGAATTACTACAAAAATAAATGGAATGTCAGTACAAGAACGGTACACAGTAGATGAGATTATTTGGAAAATACCTGCGTAGCGTTGAAATTTGATCCAGTCGATTGGCCAGGTACAGAAAATTGTGGTCTGAATGTCGCAAAATTACCGGTATTGCCAGCGAAATGTGCCAACGATGTTCCTTGAAAACCAGGTGGAAATTGTGGTATTTGTGGTACTTGAATGTAAAAAAAAAGAAAAAAACACCGTTAAAAGATACTCAAATAAAATCAAAATGTTATTCTTTAGCAATGGTCGCAATTAGTTTTTTTTGCTTGGTCAAAATGTCGCAGTTAGAACAGCTTTGTTTTTGTCAAAGAATTTACCTGCATTGTTGGTATTTCCAGCAGTGGCCGCCAAACGTGAAAGAATTGAGCGCTCCGACATTTGTAGACGTTGTGCTACAGGTGGTATTCGGGCCAATGTGGCTGGTAAACGTGATACATCACTCTTCATATCGCTCAGCAGCTCTTCAAGCTGATTCAATACTTTGTGCAATACTGCATTTGCCGGTTTGTTGCCGGCCAATGATTCTTTGCTCAAATGTTGATGTGATTCGGCCAAGCATTCAACTTCGGCGAAACGCGAATTAAGTGACATTGCCGGATGATTTGGATCTTGGGCCAAGTTCAAATAGGCGGCACGACGTAACTGTTCTTCAATCACTAGCGCTTGTTCCAATAGTTTGAATCGGCGTGCCAAGAACTTATTTTTGATTTCCAGGAAGTTCCCTTTTCCCACGTCCATTTTGAATGGCTCGTTTATGATTGCAAAACGGATGTCGTTTTGAATGTCCTGCCAACGGCCATAGCCATGTGTGACGATGCCAGCGAGTAGCCAGTAGTCATGTCGTCTGTGCCAGATCTCGTATTCTCGACCCGGAACAGCCGCTTTCTCTTCATTCAACCAAAGAGTATGCAACTCGGTAAAACCTCCATCCGCAATGTTGAACATAAAGTTACGTTTGTGCACTTCCAAATTTCCTTCGGATTTCGTTTCTTTCTTCTCATCTTCATCGTCCTTCACAATGACGACATCGTCATCATCATCGACAGATGCCACCGATTGTTTTTCCTTCTTTTCTTCCTCTTTCTCCTTTTCTTTCGCTTCTTCCTTAATCTTTTCAACTTTCAAATCAACAGCGACTTCAGAACTGCTACTCTCTACATTTTCCTCTACATTTTCTTTCTTTTCTTCTTTCTCTCTGTTGGATTCCTGTAACATAAGGTAAATGTGCAATCGATTATAATCAAATCATCGCCGTCATCATTTCGAATAATTTTTTTCATTAACATAAAAATGATTACACCTACAGGATTTGATTCGGTGCCATTTCGATCGGATTCCTCTTTGACAACCGGTTTCGTATCTACGTCCTCAGCAGTGGATGTACTTTCCGCAGATGTTCTCTCATCTTCATCTGGTTTCTTATCTTTTTCAATTTTCTCCTTATCATCTGTAACCCGTTCGCCGTCATCGTTTGGAGCAGGGCTTGGTGCAGCACTGGCACTTGCACTAGTTGTCTCACTTCGGTCACCTTGTTGTTGAGCATCTTTCGTTTTTTGCTGTTCTAAATTCGTTTTGCGAATTAGCTCCGGCATGCTATAGAAGCCGTTTATGTGCTCGAATTCCTGAACCTTTTTACGAATTAATGACATTACACCAATACGTGTGAGTACGTGTTGTCTAGATAGACCTTCGCGTGGCACACCATCGGCAAATGTTTCGGCATTGTCAGCCCCTGGCTCACATAAATGGCGCATGAACAGTGATACATATGCCTTAAAGTTCCGTTCAGATTTTCCTCGCAAATCTCGCACAAGCCATTGCGAATTGAATGCGTCTTGCGGTGGCATTCCATAGCGCATAATTGCGTTCAAGAAGCTCTTTCGTTGACGCGTATTGAATCCCAAAACTTCGATATTTCCACCGACACGGGCTAATAGCGGTGGCAGTGGACGATCTCGATCTTCTTTACGCTCAAGACGACGTCTGCTGCGCCGCGATAGATCCCCATTTTCATTGCGTTCATCAAAGTCATCGTCCTCATTATCTTCACCACTTCCACCAGAATAGTCGGAATTATAGTCGGTTCCACTGTAAATCAATAATTAATTAGAGCAACAGCAACAAATAATCAAAATCGAAATAGCCAACAATACCTTTCTTGCCAATTTGAATCGTCACGCGGTTCGGCTGCAACCACACCACCATCAGTGTAATTGACCTGTTTGCGAACACGTTTTCCTTTACCCAAGGCTCGTCCAATGTCTTCTTGCTGCTGTTCATAATGGTGGCGCAAGAGTTTGACCCAATAGGCAGGATCGGAGTTTTCAGCCTCTTGCTTGATAACTTCACGCTCTTCTTGGTCTTCGTTTTCATCTTTTGTTGCGTATGAGGCCACCTTAAACGAGGACAAATACTCATTTGCCCAACTTTCTTTCTCTTCCAAACCGCGATTCGATCGATCCAGCAATTCAGCGACAGCCTTATCGTCGTAGTGAATAGCTTGTGAGTCTTCTCCGTTCTCATCTTCTTTGAATAATTCTTCCGTTCCGAATTTCAAAATGTCGTCCATTTCTTGTTTGGTGAAATTAGCTCCTTTGCCACCCATGCCAGGCCGTACAACCAGATGGGTTAACATCATTTTGCGTTTTGCCACCTGCGTTACACGTTCTTCGACCGAGTTTCTGGTAACGAATCGATAAATCATCACTTTGTTTGCCTGTCCAATACGATGCGCACGTGAAAATGCCTGGATATCGTTGTGCGGATTCCAATCTGAATCGTAGATAATAACTGTGTCGGCTGTAGCCAAGTTAATACCAAGTCCACCAGCTCGAGTCGACAGCAAGAACACAAACTGTTGAGCACCAGGTGCATTGAAACGATCGATTGCTTCTTGACGAACATTTCCAGTAATGGTTCCATCGATTCGTTCATATTTATAGCCTTCGCCATCCAGAAAGTCCTCCAGAATGTCCAACATTTTTGTCATTTGCGAGAAGATCAACACACGATGGCCCTGCTCCTTCAACAGCTTCAACATCTTTGCGAGTAAAACCAGTTTTCCGGCTGCTTTTGTCAACGGATCAATAGCATAACCACCACCCGGTCCGAGAGGAGCCTCTTCGGCTGCAGCGGTGAACAAGTACGGATGATTACAACACTTCTTCAAATCCATCATGATGTTAAGTAGTGAACATGCACTACCACCGGTTTTCGGGTTCAAAGCTTCAAAATTTTTGGTCAATATGTATTTGTAGTATTTTTTCTGCAGTGGCGACAATTCGACACGCACAATGAATTCCGATTTCGATGGCATGTTCTTCAGCACGTCTGCTTTCAACCGGCGCAACATATGTGGCCCCAACATTTCATGCAACCGTTTAACTTGCTCTTCCTTTGCCACATCGGCGAATTCGCTCTGAAACTCTGCCAAATCGTTGAACTTGTTTTTGTTCAAGAAGTTCAATAAATGGAACAGCTCTTCAAGATTGTTTTGCAACGGCGTACCGGTCAATAGAAGTTTGTAAGCGATGTTGTATGTAGCCAAGCATTTAAAGAATTTGCTCTGGTTGCTCTTGAGACGATGTGCTTCATCAACTACAAGCATTGCCCAGTCGATAGATCCAAGGCAACTTTGATCGATTGAAATCAATTCGTAGCTCGTGAGCAAAACATTGAATTTGACATTGTTTGAACGCAATTTTGATGGTCGTGCACCGCCTCGAACGGCACCTTCTTCGAATGACAATTCATTTTCGCGAATAATGGCGCGAGAATCCTTGTCACCCACGTACGTGATGCAGTAGAAATCGGGTGCCCATAATTCGAACTCTCTCTCCCAATTGATGAGTGTCGACAATGGTACGGCTATCAAAAATGGACCTTTGCAGTGCCCCTCCTTGTACAGCGAATACAAAAATGTCGCCGTTTGAATGGTCTTTCCCAAACCCATTTCATCTGCAAATAAAAACCAAAAAGAGACCTTGTTAGGAATGATTGGAAGCAAGATGAAAATAATATTTAGAAACAATTGATGTAGTCTCTTCTCTGATCTTGCTTCGAAATATACATATGTATGAAAAGAAGTTGAGATAAGACATAAGATGTACCTGCTAAAATTGTATCGATTCCATTGGCCCATGAGTAGCGCAACCAGTTGATTCCTTCCAACTGATATGGATGCAGTTGCATACCAGTGTCATTCAAATATTGTGGTTGAATTTCTAATTTCTTCTTTAAATCAGTGACCGGCTTCTCGAGTGGTGGCGTGTAACGTTTGTACGGCTTGTCATCATCATCCAAGTCCCGATTTCGGCTCTTACGTCCTTTCTTTCCTTTTTTGCGTGAAGAACCGTCACTAGTTAAAGCCGCACGCAAATCCATGTAGTATTCAATGGCTGCCTTTAGTCCTGGAATTTCATCATTATCCTCTTCCCAGGTACTCTGATCGTACGGTAATTCACGCCATTTAACCAAATACAAAATGGTACCATCGCGCATGGTACGATGATTAATAACGCGATGCACCATCAACCATTCCGGTTTCACACCATACCGGTAGTATTTCTCTTCCAAAGCATTTTCATCAACTTCGGATCCTTCAGCCTTGTGCATTTGGATGCGCTTGTATCGATTATCGGCTTCTTCTAAAGCCTCTTCAAGCTTTGGTGGCTCCTCCATATCATATTTTCGAATATACGAACGGAACATGAGTGGATGAAATACATCCAATTGTAGTTCAGTAACCCAATCGCAATGCCAATAAGATTGCTCTTGCCATTTGACGAAAAATTCACGTTCTCGGCGCACTTGCGGTTTCTTCGATGTTGATGCTTCGCCCTCAACAGGAACTTCCTTCCATCGCCACGTAATGATTCGCTGAATCTTTGCCGGCAACGTGGGACAACTACATCGGGGACAACGCCAATCGCCGTCGGGAATCTCGTACAGCGGAGGTCGCAAGCAGAATGTGTGATATGCTGATGGACACGAATCACAGCACAACAATTCACCGCCATCCTTACAAACGCCTTTAAAATGTATGTAAATTTAGTAATATGCATCGCATGTACTGTGTATGTGGGATTGTTTGAAGTTGGTGATACTTACGGCAAAACTCTTGATGCTCGTCATCTTCATCTTCTTGTTCGATGGGACCCTCAGCCTCACATGCTGGACATGACCATTTCCCTTCTGGTGCCTCATCTAATTCTGGCTCCAAACACACCAAATGATAAGCTTTCGGGCATGTGTCACATAGAATGATCTCGCCACCTTGTTGACACACTTCGCAGTAGTCTTGATGCTCATGCTCGCCATCATCGCCCTCCGGGAAACGGTTAGTGGTTTTGGTTTTCTTCTTCTTTTTATTCTTCATGCCGATTTTGGTTTTGGCCTTCTTCTTCACGATTGGCTCATTTGAAGCATCGTCGTTACTCTTTGATTTCTCTTCGCTCTCCCGTTCCTGTTTTTCATCTGATTTTTGTAACATTTTCTCAAATTCCAGATCCGAATCCCGTTCTGAGCGCTCACTCATCTCGCCATCTTCATCGGAGCTTCCTTGTTTTCGTTTACCGAATTTGATTTTCAGCGTCGGTACTTTTCCTTGCTTTCGACGCTTGCTAGCGCTGCGGCTGCTTCCTACAAATGTGTCAAACAAAAGGGAAATGCAATAATCCACATAGATGTATGTACCGTAATTTTATAAGGAATTTTATTCAATCCAGTAAGGTTTTTGTCAGCTAATTCTGAACGACCAAACTGTGCTCGCTGTCTTTCACCATCCTTGCCAACAGCAAAAAGTAGCAAAGCCACACTCATCGAAAATACCGTTGTTATCTGTGCCAACGCTGCAACATTCAAGAATGTGCTATGCAAGCTGAATGTTGGGTACATTCATAGAAAAACAATCGATTGCTTTCAGAACAACGACACGAACAGCATCAATTTTATGATATTCGAAGATGATGTAAATAAATTTTCAATCATTTATAATAGAAACTAACAATACAATGAACAACATCCAATGCAAAATCAGCTACTCAAACGTCCGCCTCGGCAATATCATCACGGATAGCATCATGATCAGAATTAGCTACTACTGATTTATACAAATGGACTAATGAGAGTATATATACAGTATATGGAGTAGGTAAGAAGAATAATTACGTTTGCTCCGTTTCGATTTGACCTCCGGCTCATCTTCATCTTCATCTTCGTCGTCATAATCATCTACTTTCTCAGGAGCGGCCGATTTTGATGAACGTGATCTACTTGGCTTTGGTGTATATTCAGGTGATCGCGGTGGCGATTCGTCGTCTTCCTTTGCTTCTTCTTGTAAATGTGGATTCGATTCGGAGAATTCTCGCCATTTTGCCGCGACCAACATCATTAACTTCGACATTGGTACTTTTGGATTTTCTTTTTGTAAAATCGGTCGTACATGCTGTTGAAACAATTTGTATGTGGTCAATGTTTGGAAATCGTCGTCAGTGAACTCGATATCGACATCAGTTAAATCGAAAGAATTGCAAACTTCTTCGATTGTAGGCATACCTGGTGTAAGATAAAAGAAATTCAGTTTGAATTGCATACAAATTTACAGAAAATCAAAATGAAATTCCGAAATCGAAACCCACTTGAATCAACGGTTCCACTGCTTGATGCTTTCGACGACTCTTTTTTCTCTTCTTTCTTTTTGCTACGGCCTTTTTTGGACGATGCATAATCTGAGTCAACTGTGTCATCTGGCGCTGGCGCAACAAAATCGCTATCCTCTCCACTTCCATTCTTCTTTCGCTTTTTCTTCTTACGATTTTTGTCTGATTTTGCTTTTCGTTTTTTGCCCTTCTTACGTTTTGTACCATGTTCGGGCTCATAGTCGTCATCATCATCCTTTAAATCAATTGAAATATATACATATATCGGTTACTTGAAATCACTCTAGCAATTATTAATCCGGTATAGATATTTCAATTGAACGAACGATTCGAATTTAAATATGATAATCGAAAAACTATTTACCCCCACATTTGCAGCTATTTTCGCCAAGTTTTCGTCAGAATCGCCCGAACCATCACCTCGCTGCTCCTCTTCTTCCTGTTGGTCTTCTTCTTCGGCTGGAAAAAAAAGAGCATTACATTGAATGAGAAAATGTTTTGTAATGCATTACGAAAATTTAAAAATCGCCTGCATTGATTGAGAAGACAACAGACACACAAGCTGTTCGCTTTAATTGTTATATAATTGTTCCTTGTCACAATTTAAACGACATTCCAGTTTTTTTTTGCATCTTCATGGTCTTTTCCGTTTTCGTATGAAATTGAAAGGCGAGGACAAAATTGCAGATTTATGAAAGAATTGAAAACCATTTCGTGTTGAGAATGATTACCGGCATTTCTTTAACGTCGTTCGATTAGTGGAGTTTCAACCTCTCGGATATGTAATTAAATTGAACGCAGCAGACTATTTGCACTTCTTGCACCGCCGCACACACGCACACGCACACACAATGAATGCAATGTTATGCATTTCTGAACTATTTATTTTGAATTTTCGGTGAATTTTATACACTGTACGTGCATCCGTCATGTGCAAGTCTGCACAACAATATATGTGTAATTGTGCGAAATGAAACATACGGCCAAATGGAAACAGATGTAACTGTCGTTTACGTGTGTATTTGTAAACTAAATGTCTTAAATATATAAATAAGACTTTTTGTAGAGTGACGTGCAACGGGTAACGGGGAACCGAGAGCGGAAACGGTGTTCGAAAAGACAGCTCGAGCAAATTGTAGGAAAAAGAGAAAGAAACGAATAAGAGTACCAAGCTATATCGAAAGGCAGAACAAGAGCAGAGGCAGTAATAACAAAAGTAACTGTAACAACAACAACAACAATTGCAGCTAATATAACCTATGAATTGGGAAGAAGAACGCACGCCACGCCACAGTGGTAATCGTGGTGAAGTTCATAATGATGGCAACCATTTTGGAAAATACAGACAAATAGCTCCAAAAGAAAATTTCATTTTCGATTATGATTTACTTAAATGAATTGAACACGAATCGAATACGGTTGTAAACTCTTTTCAGCACTTCATTATTCGTTCTACATTGAAACAGATCATATTAAGACAATATCATATGAAACTAACACTTTGCAAAACGTTCGACGATCAGTTCCGATTCTTTGATTGACTGTCTATGAAGAAACTTCAACTTAAATGTCACCACAGCCAGAAAATAAAAACATATAGTACAATTCTCTGAAATTTCACTGACTCAACACAAAACTTTTTCGTCAAACATTCCCAGTTCATTGCGCTATGTATTTTACATAATGTATGCTTACCGGCATTTAAAACGATACAAGTAAACATTGAACTAAATTGAAATAATTGTTGCTTTCATTTGAAGGAAATATTGGATTGGAAAATGCACTTGTTGTGTTTTTATGTAATTTTATGAAAATTCAAGGAAAATCTTTCGGAATAGTAGCTGATAGAAAGCTGTTTCATTTATCAAACACTCAAAGTAAACAGTGAGTTTTGCAAACAAAGAGTCAATGATTTCGGACGGTATGAAATTGCATTTATTTCGTTCAATAAAACTCACCAGCAAAGGATTCCTCATTTTCGTCGTCCGATGCCATGGGGACCAGTAATTAATTATTGATTGGCTTCTTTGATTGGTGTTTATGTGACCGGCAGATACAAATTCCGGTTCGAAAACTTTTACGTGTGTCCCTTCGTTTCTATCACAACACACTCACACAAATCGAACACACACCTTTCTGAGGTAATTAAATACACAATTATATTCACTTATTTTATGGGCAACGGCCAACAATTCATGCACACAATTTTTCGTTTCTTCTTCTTCTTCTTATTTTTCTTTTTCTCTCTCTCTCTCTCTCTCTCTCTCTTCTGAAAGATCTCTATTCGGTACTATTGATATTTGCAATATTCTCCGTAGACCACCGATCGAATTTTGTACAGTTACAAAAGTTTAACAAACAACTTTCAGTTTAATGAATCTATGAAATGTGGAGAAAAATTCATTAATTGTTTTTTTGAAAAAATCAGCTTTTTCGCGTTTTTGTGCGGATCGTCTACACAAACATAATATGTTCGACTGTCGTCGGTGCATACAAATGCCACACTACATTCAATAGGCACAACATACATTTGCTAGCAGCGAAAAAAAACAATATGGCGAATCGTATCAACTGGATTCGGTAGACAAGCGAAGAACAGAGTTGCCCGATGTTAGAGAATGCAACCAAACAACAGGCGAAACAACCTAATATTCTGAAATTTATTCAACATTTCAGACAATTCAGTCAACTGCAATTCTGGGGATGGTATTCCCAACAAATTCGTTTACTGCATATACAAAAAAGAGGAGAACTATAACAAAGCACGTGTAGAATTGTGTGTATATGCCATCATAAAGAATGTTAGGTGATGGATGAATAGACCTGAAAAATCGGTTTTTCATAAAACAAAGTCAAAACTTAAACTGATTTCATATAAACAAATTGATATGCATTAAATATGTATACTAGAAATGGATTTTATACAATTTTTTTGTTGTACAAATAACATCGTTTAGCCTCTGCCTCTTGTTCTGACTATACCTCTGCCCGTAATGCATACGTACAATACCAGTAATAAGAAATTCACGTTGAAACAGCGCATATTCCAGTGTTCGCATTTAATCTGCATACAGTAGTATAGCATCCATTCCAGTAGCACACATTTAACACTTGTTTGGTATACAGATTGTTCTGCGTGTACTGCATAAGACTTTGTGTCAAAGCAAAACAGTGAATATGTCAAAAATCTCTGTTTTTATATTGTTTGCAAATATTTAAGAGAATTTCATTTTGCACCGACGAAACAGTAGTGCTTGGATATCATATCATTAAGAGAAACTTCTGTCGTTTAATTCATTAGAAATTCCGCAAATGAACTTCATTATGAGCGATGGGTAATAATATTTAAATATATGTTTACTAACGAATCTATTGCAATAATTCACGATGATTATTACATAAAGCAAAGAGAATAATCAGAAAGAGAAATCATACGTCGATTAGGAATCGCGTGATCAACTAAAATAATGTAAAGTTGAAAAAGTTCACCTGCATCGCAACAAGTACTTTTGAAAATTGGTATTTGCTTCATGACTGTTCACAGCTTTTTCACTAACAACGAATACAAATTTTGAATTTATATTTGTTGCATTTTGTTGTTATAAACTATGCTTGTTATAAGAGCAACGGATGAGATGCTCACATATGCATACGAATTAGGATTCGAGAACAATAACAACTGCATTGAATATACGACCAAAATACGCTCTGCATAATTGTGCAATTGCGCTGTGATTTTCTTTTTCATATAATCCATTAGTTCCGACGAGTGGAGTAATATTCAATGCAACTGAATGCAAGACTAAATAGATAATAACTGAAAATAGATTACTTTCAAATCAAATATCGGTAAAAATGTGATTAAACAAAGAGAAGTGAACAGAATTTGAATCGATCTGAACGAGATCAAAGTTTTTGTGTGATTCACTTTAATTTTATAAACAGACAACAACAAAATTACTTCATTGTCAAGTTATGCAATAACCGCTATAACGTTTGTAAGGAGACGATATAATGGAATATTCTACAGTTTTTGAATAAAAGCCATACATACATATATAAAAAAAAATCGATGAAAAAATATTAGAAATATATTCAGTCATTTCTCAGGTTACATAAGTGAATAGTTGTATGCATTGATGGATTTATATTCAAATGGCCTACTTTAAACAAAAACTTTGATGTGCCGCCCATAGGGCCATAAAGGATGCATATATTCAGCCGAATTCAGTGTTTGATTCCCAATGCATTAAATCTATCGCAGATGATTTGATTTGTGATGACGAATTCATTTATTTTTAGCGTAATTAAGGAAGCAAAATCGGACTAGGAACTAGGTAACACCGTAACGGAGGAACATCTAAATGGACCAATGGCACCGTGTAATCGCCTCTTTAAGGCGGCATTTTTATTATGTATACTCCTTTTGTTATTGCTGAACTTTTCCAATTTTCGAACAAACAATCCAATCAGGTAAACAGTAATACAGTTGTAGTTCATTTTCGTTAGCACTATAGCCGATAAATTGAATCGTTACAGAGCCTCACATACAGTTGCCAATGGGATTCAATGGCCAACGCCATTACATTCCGAAATGCGAACAACCAATAAATATGACAATGGAAAAAGAAGTGCCACAAATCAAAATGTATCCAAACAAATTTTAGTCAACAACAATCATCGTACAGGAAGCACGCCGAACAAAACACATAGCAATATTCTAAGTACTCGTTTAGTCAAACCCATTCCATCAACTATAGAAACTGAACATACACGTGAAAAGTGAGTTGTGGTTTTTGCGCGATTTCAGTACTTTTCTACTATTTGCAAAAATCTGTTCGAATTTGTCATCTTCTTCGTCTTTTTTTCCTTTATAAAGCCCACAACCTCGGGACGAAAGCGATCAAATGTCCTTCAATAGTGCGTCATCCACAAGTACAAGTGTGTCCCATGAACTTGAAGGCACAATGTCGACAACGCAATTTAGTTTTAACAGTCCATTTTTAACAAAGTTGATGACCAAGATCGGCTTGAATGCTTGCCCATCGATGCCGCCAGATTTGAATGGTCCCATTAATGCGGATATCGAATATGAGCCATTGTCCGCAATCGAAAAACGGTTTCGTGATCTATTACTGCCCGGCGGTTGGTACAAGCCACACGAATGTAATCCAAAAGATCGTGTTGCCATTGTTATTCCATATCGCGACCGTGCCGAACATCTACCAGTCTTCCTGAAAAATATACATCTCCTGCTTATGAAACAACAAGTGGAATATGGGATATTTGTAATTGAACAAATCGCTGATGGTTTATTCAATCGTGCAGCTCTTATGAATGTTGGATTTCTGGAAGCATTGAAACTCCATCAATGGGATTGTTTTATTTTCCACGATGTTGATTTAATTCCATTGGACGATCGAAACCTGTATCGATGTCCAGAGCAACCGCGACACATGTCAGTTGGTGTAGATACAATGGGATACAAGTAAGTCAAACAACATGTCCGTTGGTTTATTTTATCAATATATATTTACACATGGTGAAATAAAAACAGGTTACCATACAGTGGGATTTTCGGCGGCGTTTCTGCCATGACTGTCAAGCAATTCACAACTGTCAACGGTTTCTCAAATTCCTTTTGGGGTTGGGGTGGTGAAGATGATGATATGTCGAATCGCCTGAAACACGTTGGATTCCACATATCCAGATACCCAGTTAATATAGCTCGTTATAAAATGTTAACTCATCGAAAAGAAAAAGCAAATCCCAAGCGGTGAGTTTAATTGTCAAAAACAAACATTAATATTTGATTATTTTAATTCGATTGCAATCCGTTGATGTCTAGCTATGAAAAACTTGTGAGTGGTGTGAAGCGATTTGATTCGGAGGGACTGAATTCATTGAAGTACGAAGTTCGTGCATTCGAACGCAAAGTTCTCTACACCTGGATTCTAGTCGAAATTAAACAAGATTCAGTAAGTAAAACTTGCCACACTAGACAATTATAACCTTAAACTAACACAGCTCCTTGTTTTCTCTTCTCTTTTTCTTTCATTTTTGCGATGCGACTCTTTCCATCCATTCACAAAACGTGTGACATTTTATCTATTTTGTTTGACTGTCACGTCAATTGGAGTGCAGCACAGCTGATCAGCGTATTGGCTTCATTTTTTACTAGATTAAAATAGTCGATTACGTGTGATTTTGCATACTTCGTATGCGACTCTATTGTAGAGTATTTTCATTTTTCCGAATAATATCTTACAAACTGAAAGCAGCCAACGACGACAAATGGAACGGGGCAGAATTTTTTTACAATTATGTGAGTTCGTCTAGCTCAGGTGTTAATATTAACTTTACTTTGGCGCATACATTCCCTGAAAAAAGTTCCATAAATAATAAACCCATATATACCTATACTATAGGCATTTTCTTCCGTCGAAAAGCCGTACCTCTTCTCAAATATTAGACACACATATGCATGGTTGTAGAATCATATAGTAACAGTCATTTAGCAGAGCCTCCGGAAGTTGTTGGAATTTGAATAAAAATAAAACACAAGAAAACCTACACTGTACACTTGTTGATGACATTATCATCGAGTTTTGTTTCAATGGAATAATTGCCCATTGAAAACGCTTTTCGATGTAAGGAAATGCCAATTGAAATATTTTGATCTTTCAATGAGTGAATCTCCATGAGACTTTAATTTTGAATTGTTATTTCTTTATAATTTATTGTTTTTTTTCTCGTCCAATTAAACAAGTTAGTTTATCACAAGATTTCCAATATTTCATTGTGATAGCATTACTTGATGATATTTTTTGATTCTGAAATCGGTTGGGTTATTGCTCTTAATGCCTTTCTCACTTGTTTACAAACAAATATTTAAATTTTTTAATCGAAAACGTGATAGTATTCCATAAATTACAATTAAAAGACGAATAATCGTATAAATCTTACCAAAATCAACCATCATAATTCACGGGATAGATAATTGCTCTGAAGAACACAAACTCGAGCATTCGCAATCAGTTGTTTTGTGAAGTAATGATATTCCACTAATAAAAAGAAATTTTAAAACACATGCCAAATGATTTTTCTTTCTTTGAGCGTTCATCTGTTAATATATTCAGTAAGTAAGTAATCATTATGTTATTTCGTTTTGTTTCGTATTTATTTCCATTTTCATTCATATTGATCAAATGTGTTTTTTGTTTTTTGTTTTTTTAATAGTAAATTCCAAAAGTTTTGTGGAATGGAATGTGTTCCAATGCCTTCGAATATCGGCGACGATAGTCCTAGTGATGGGAAATTTATAAAAAAATAAGTTAATATTTTAAGATTTAAATCATATAATTGGTGTGCTAATTTTGGATTACCCAAAGAAAGTGATCAAGTAAGATGGAGTTAACGTTGGTGCGTGATACAGCTGGATGATGAGTTTCAAGCTCTTGAATGACAAGCTTTTTTAATTCTTCAACTATGAATATCGACGTTCCGCGTATTTCAACTTCTTCGGGTGATCCGTTTTCCAAGATTTTATCTATGTGATTGCGGTAAAATTAAAATGAATTGTATTCACGAAAAATGTGTGCCGATCATCGATTCGGCCCACCATTGATTTCTTACCTTCTTGTAGCAGCTTCATGAGATAATCATCATATGATATGGCTCCAAAATGAATAAGTACTTGAGGTACACGATAATCAGCAAACATTGTAATGTAGTCGATATCTTCAAACCAGCCATCACCTTGACCACCAAAAAATGCCCACTTTCGAAAGAAAAAGAGAATCAATCCCATTGATTGAATTTATATGTGCTGTATTTGTATAGGTACGGCACTTACCAAATCTCCAATTAAAATTTGAGCACGCTTGTACAGCGATACACCGATGCCATTCCACTCGGCTTCGTCGCGATAGCATGGAAATTCATCCGTAATGATACGGAGAAGTCTACGTGCTGAGTGATCGGCTTCAACTAAACAACTTTCGAATTTGCCATCGTATTTCTCAAGTAATACGTTACCCACTTCGTGCAAACATTTTACTCGTTCTTCAAGCAAAGGCACTTTAGTTTCATTGTCATCACCGCGTAAAATCTCAGATAGCTCTTCGATGGTAATTTTTGAGTAGTATTGTGCGTTTGTAATATCAATACCATTGTTTTGTGCCCGGTTGATAGCCGCACATATAGCAAAATAGCCTGATCAAATAGTAATAATAATTATTGGAGTGTTTAAATGCAATATTATTTCTACTGGAATGAGTGTGTGGAATAGATGTTTGCACCTACCGGTTTCGCCACAGACTTGCCATTTTGTCGCGTCTCTGGGCGTCCAAAAGCAAAAGTTCAACGTATCAATAACGAAAATCCATTCGATTGCATTTTTATCATTCGGCTTGGGGTGATGTTGATTTTGCGAAAAATTACTAACATCTAGTTCTTTTGTTACGATTGCGTTCACCACCTTAAAATTGAATATAACACCATAACCATCATAGAACACAAGACAAATTGGTTTTATAATACTTTATTCGAAAGCATTTTACTGAACTTACCTCATTTGATAACTTTTTGATTCCGTTTCGGTTTACTTGAACATGTTTTGGGCTATTTGTTATGACAACGGCTGATGCCCTTGGATTTACAGTGACTTTGCGTTCAACCATCATATTCTATAGCAAACATAAAAGCTAAACCAGTTAATTCAAGCCAAAACAAAAAGCAACCGGAAAAAATAATAATGATATTTACTTGAGAGTTGTCGTTTGACTGTCTAATAAACTTTTTCATCGAGCAATCAAACGCATTTAATGCAAAATGATAACAATTTTATTTTATTAGGAAATTTCGTTAAACGATGTTGCCGCATAAGACCGATATAATTGACAGATTTAATGACAGCTCAATGCCCACATGGCTGCTCCACTGAAAACTTGAGAGGGTGCGCTCGTGTCATATGAATTATTTTCCACTTTTTTCATTTTCCATTTTTTTTTTTTTATTAAAAAGAAAATTATACATTAAATTTTATACAGAAAAATAGAGTAATTTGTCATTTGCGCGGATTATGATTTCTCCGTTACCGAAGACATTTTGATTTTTTCTTTCTGTTTTTTTATTTGTTCCGTCATAAACTGATTGAAACATTCTTCTTCTTTCTCCGTATCACCATTTGCAATAACTTCCTCCGTGCCATCTTCGTCTTCGGAGCTTTCGTTTGCCGGATGTTTTAGATAAATATCGGTGAGGTCTCGACCAGATGATACTTCTGTTATGAAACTTGCCATCGGTATTTCTGAGCCAACCTTAGTCTTTTTCTTTATTTCGTCCAGCCTCTGTTCAGCGGTTTTTTGTTCTTCGGCCAATTTTTTGTGTCGCAACTTTTCATATTCAGCTTTGTAGTCGCTAAAAATGAACATTGAACTATTAAAAAGGACTAACCATTTCAAATATTCCTATGTTATACTTACGCTTCATACTCTTTGGCTCCTTCTTCTACCAAATCGAAAAATTTCCCGAAACCAGCGCCGGTTTTCGCTGATACGCCGCAGCATTTTAAATCTCTATAAAATTCGTCCAGTGTTAGTGACATGGTGCGCGTCAAATTGCTTACATATGTCTGTTCGGATTCAAGTGCTTCTTGGAATGCTTCAAAGTCCTGCATCCATTCCAATGCGAACAAATGATCTTCAATATCAATCTGAAACAATCAAATGAAAAGTCACACGAATAATTAATGATGATTAAATGAAAAATCGGAATCATCATCTGCGTTGTTTCATCACCTTGTTCATGACAACAATGAAGGGCAATCGGGCTTTATACAAAATGGAGCAGGCATAAAGCATATTGGACATGAATGTCGTTGGGCATTTCGACCGCGGAACGTCCATTACGTAAACGACAACAGTTGGAAAAGATGTTGCTAGAGCTTCCGTGATTATAGTACCAGATGCAGACCATGTGAACACTTCAATTTGGCCTGGCGTATCAATCACACAGTACTTGTGTTCGGTTCCTGCTTTCTTTACCAGATCAACCACTTGACCAAACTTTGTTGAGAACAGATTAAGAGTAGTTACGATGCCACCGTTTGGTCCCAGCTGATATTGTTTCATGACTTCTTTGTAATTGACAGTGTCACGAATATCTGTGAAGAAAACAACAGCGCTAGGATTAGTTTGCATACACTGACGTTCTGCAGAAAAAAGTCTCACCAATGTTGGCATGGTAAGGCACTTCTTGACATGCAGGATCCAAATTAATGACGTACGGCTTCATATTTTGTAGATTTCCCAGTTGTGTTAGGCGCCTTACAAAGGATGTCTTACCACTACCGGCCATCCCAAGTACAATCAAACAAATCGGACGAGAATTTATTTCGAACGATTGTGCTTGACTTTCGTCGGAACTTTTATTTTGACTGCATCCTGCGATGCTCGCTGAATCATCCAATTTGTTTGATGCCATTTTCCTTACTATATCTATCGTGTTCGAAGTTAAATATTCAAATCAGAACACTGCTGCAGTTGCGTGCTTTATTTGAATCGCATTTATTTTGAGGTTACTTTGACATCTGAAGTAAACACAATCGCCTGCATGAAATGTCATTCAGTAAAATGGTGCACTAATCGAATGGTGAAAATGAATTTGAATTAAAAGCTGGTTCAAACAAATGCTAAACGGCGATGTGAGTTTCAACGAAAAGTTCCCGGCTTGAGTAACTAGATGGAGCTGCAAGTGTCTGCCGTCAAACCAATCAGAGTTTTTTTTGTCATTTCAATAACTTGTTTCCGAAGTATGCTGTTATAACTCATGAGAGTTGATTTGCGGTTTGAAGCCAATTCGGAAACTAAAGAAAACCCAAGTTTCGATGGAAAAATTTGGAAAAGATGCATCCAAGGCATTTCTTAGAAAAAATTTTGAATCATTTTTCGTCCTCTCTTGGTTTTGATGTTGGTTTTGTTTCTGAATATTTTTTTTTTCATTAGTGACAATTCCGAAATTGAAAAGAAGCTATTGAAAACAGATGTATGATTTCCTGAAGGAATTTTTTTACGTTTCCATTTCATTTTTATTCTGACCGTTAACAAAGCAGGTTAAAAAAAACACACATCCTTCGTCTGTTCTATGCAGTATGCATCTTCAAGTATATATACGAGTCATTTTGCATAATCGTCAACGTAGAAAACGAAGATTTCTTTTCTATCATTTTTGGTTGCTGTGTCGTTGTCACATAGTCACGCTTATTTGAAATTCATTGGCCGATTCGAATTTGAAATGCCGCTCGTATCCTCACTCATTTCTTTATTTATTTCGTAACAAAATAGAAACATGTGTTTATGCTAATATGTCACACACATACAAAAAAAATGAGCGTCGGTTGTTTGTTTTGCCTTCTGTTCTTTAGAATGCGCGTGTATTAAAAGAACCAAATCGATTTTAAAGACATATGACGATGTGTGTTAATATCAATTTCTCTCGTCGTCACAACATAACAAGACCTTCGTATGCAATAAATCACAATTTTACATGCATCTGATCGGTGCGCATTCAAAAAAACAAACGTGGAATTCTTTCGGTTATGCATTTTATCTCGAATCTTTAATGAAATCCATATCCATTTGGTGTGCGATTTAGGTGGCCAACGTTGACACAGAAAAAAACTAACGCAGCTGATACTGAACACGATAATCGTTTCGAAATTATTTCACTTTATGCGCTTGATTACAATTTTAAGTCACAAAAAGTCCAGACTTCCGTTTCATAATCCAATTGGGTCGTTGCCAGAATTGCCTTTTTATTTCGGAAAATTGTCGTTCTCTTAATCAGATTTCCTGCAGCAATGGTGCGGCGGCAGGTAATGGATGGGTAACTTGCCAAGCTGAATTCACTTAAAGTTAAGTAATTTGAAAAAGCATCAACGACACCTAAATTTTCACATACAATTTTCTAAACGATTAGATACATGAGAGAGATAGATAGAGAGAGAGAGAGAGAGAGAGAGAGAGAGAGAGAGAGAGAGAGAGAGAGAGAGAAATGCAATCGAGAGTATTTCGGTTTGATCAGCACTTCTGACACACTACGTCAAAAACAAAAATGTATGTTTTACTACAATAGTTCGAACTACATATTAATGGAACCGATTTTTCATAGCATTTCTTGTATCGCATAATCACTTTCCACCTAAACCAGAAACACTGGAGCTAGAGCCACCAAAATATGCATCGACATTTTTTTGACGGTGATTAAGCGATATATAAGAGTCCGTCTTTGCTTGGACCCAATGAATGGTTGTTTGCCGGAGAAAAAAACGAGTATTGATCGATGTAAAAAAAAGGGAAAAGGAAGACGATAGGTAGGAGCCTGCAATGCTGAAAGTGAAGCAACCAATGATTAATCTTCCGAAGTGCCGATTTTCGAATGTGCTCTCGTTCGTTGGTTTTTCCATCGTTTTGCCATATTTGTATTTTGGCACGATTGCAATGTGCAAAGGAACGAATTTTTCGCTTCGTCTCTCTATCTGAATTGCGTAACGATCGGACATGCATGATTTAGTTGCGTCGATTTGGACCGGTCCCACTGTTCCGCACATTTCAATATCTCAAATTTCATTGATCGCATGAAATATATGGCCCGGCCAATTTTATGGTAAAATGCTATGGTATGGATTTGGTTCGATATTAGTTCTTTAGGGCTTGTTGTGCATTGCATCTTTTACACGACCACGATGCACATGACATGGAGAGGGGAACATGCTAGAGGAAATTGATATTCCACTTAGAAAAATTACGTGGAAAATTGAAAAACCATTTGTCGTCGAATGCACCACATATTCGACACACCGAAAACAAGAAAACAAACTAGAAAATTAGATGAAAACAAACCGATGAAGAAGAAAACCCGAAAGCAAACGAACGAAAAAAAGAGCGAAGATAAATCATCGAATGCTTGTGAGTCTTGAGACCGTTCCATTAGCACATTTCACTGCATTTTAAAAGCATGTTCTATCCAAATATGCGTATGATTCCGATGTGCACACCGGATTAAATGCGCGTTCATCCATTTAAGTAGCTTTTATTTGGTGTGACGATGTTTTGTTTTCTGCTTCTTTTTTTTCCTTCTTTCGTTTGCTTTCTTCACTTCATTTGGTCACGATGACTTTTTGTTTTAAGGATAGCTTCATTTATTTTTTCGGCACATAGGAAACGAAAATGCTCCGCGTTGCCATCAAACAATTATTTCATTATTTTTGTTTGTTTTCACTGTGTGAGAAGCACCTGTTCCGTTGATGCTTTACAACGATATTTTCAGATGACTCAACCAACTCCAATTCAAATAGCAACGGCATAATAAAATAGTCATTCGCAAGCGCACATGTGGTCTGCATTCCAATAATAAAAAAATAGATATGCTCGCGGCAAAATTTTTGATTTGGTTTCCCTTGAGATGGAGAAAAAAGTATCGAAAATTATTACTTCGAATCGAATTTTAGCAGAAGGCGGTCCGAAGGATTGATTGATGGAGAAGTAATAAATAATAATTCGAAAAATCAAAATTTTGCGCGCCAGAGCCACTGCGTCCGATTTGAATATAAATATGTATGTATATATGATTTATGTCTAGAACGTAACGGACGAATTCCCATATGACCAAAAGGCGAACCTAGAATTTGCTAATGAAATCGACTTTAAGTAAATCTGTGGAAATCAAGTTGGAACTCACTTATTCGAGTAATGCTTTTTTTCACATCAAATATTGCGAAATTTACTCATTGAATAGGTAAAATTGGTGTTTGATTCTCAATGGACAGAGTGTTATTGAGAGCATATTGGACGGCCAGACATTTGTTATTTGTTTCCGAATGAATGAAACTCAGAGAATCGCCTGCTATGAACGATGCATATGTGCATCCATCAACCCATAATTTGAAACATGAATTTAATAATAGAGTACGGAGAGGAAATAATACGGGGAATGGCTCCGAAGAATTCGTGCTTTAAAAGCGAAAGAAACATATTCGCTTTCAAAAATAAAATAGAAAATATGTGTATGTGTGTGTGTGTGTGTGTTGGAGGCAACGAAAAAAAAGGTAAGGGAATCGAAAGGAATAACACATCAAAAAGAAGACAAAAACAAAACTCAAAAGAAATAATTAATAGTCGAGAAATCCTTCGTCTTATATTAAATTAGTGAAATGGCTCAACAGCACTTAAAATTTCCTCGCATCAGCGTGGGCATGCACGAGAGAATAAGGACGAATCAAATGATAAAAAAAGCCGAACTACAAAAAAACGCAACACATCAACCGAAAAGTAAAGGGAAAACATTCGGAAAAAAACCTCGTCTCCAATAATTTTATGGTTTTATTACTGTTTACGTTATTTTGATGAATGATACATTTCTTTGTTTGCCATCTTTATGCTTTATGTGTCTCACATCCATTGCAACAGCTCTTGCTGTTTGGTTACCGGCATGTTCTAAAAATAACAGATAGCACTAAATGTAGCCATTTCAATGGAATTTTACTTCCGGATCACTCTCGCCCTAGCCGTCAGTATCAACAGTTTCTGTATGGACAGAAATCAACACCCATAGAGCAACATATCACTGTATTTTAGGTTCGTTACAATGCATGAATATGAGTTATGGCTTGATGCTTTGACCGAGACCGAGACAATCTAAATTTAAAACTGAGGGTTCGGTTTCAAGCACTTGCGACAAATAATACGGATTTTAAACCGCTTTTGTATAAAATATTTTTTTTTTGGTTATTTATAGAGTTTTAATTATCGCTACAAGAATCCATGAGCAGTTGTTGTACAAAAATGAAAATGAAAATGAATATTTATCGTAATTTGCTCGGCACCAAAACATATTGAACCCCGCTTCCGCTAATTTCCGTTCACATACATTTAAAGTGAAATTTGGGACAATTAGTTAACATTTGCCGTGGTGATGTGCACACTTAGTCAGGAATTTATAGGTTTTCAATAGCTCATCCGCACTTGGTCCGCATATGATTTAGTTTAACCTTCAACTTCTAAATCACTTATAGATGAGCCGTCTGGTTATTGAAGTTCTTGTGTTACAGGAGCCGGCCGCTGAACCACTTGAAATTGTTGCAGAATTTGATGCTACTGGAATAAGAATACGTCTAACGTAGAATGAATTCATTGGAATGCCACGCTAGACATCGTCGGTACAGGAGTATGATGAATTTGGATCTCTTTTTTGTTGTTGTTAAAGGACGGAACATCAAATAATGGAATTGGATATGAGCCAAAATATGTTTATTTGTCTCGTTTTTTTTTTGTTAATCAAATAAAACGTCAACCAATTAGTTCAGCTGGATGACGGTTGCACAAAAAGCACCTGAAGTATAGATGCGGAGGAATGACAAAATGCGCCTATGTAAATATTTGGCAACAATAGTATTTCGACCTGTTCAACGAACAATGTTTTGTTCTGTGCATTCAGCTAGCTGTTGATGTTTGTCCAAATAGATAAGGTTTTTCCTATGCGGTTTTCACTAAAGTCGGATGTCTCGAAACGAAATGCAGCAGATGTAGAAAATCCAAACGAAAAAATGCAAAACGCACAAAATTCACCAAATTGTACTGCATAACTGGCATACTATGTATGTCTGCTGGGCACATGCGATATAAACTGAACATTGAATGGCGCCTAAGCCCTAAGTGGTGTATACAATGTAAAAATGTGCGTGCCCCTTACGAGATCTCACAAATACATTCACAACATTTCGCAAAGCGGAAATATCAAACACTGATTTCTGTTATAATATTCCATTTTATTTCTAAATCATATAGCATTTCGATGGAGAACCGCTAAGCCCGCATTCTTTTTCTGCTTCTCTCTATCTCTCTTTCTTTTTCACACATCGATTCCATTTGGCAACGAACACAGTCATATTAAATCTCAATTTCTTCAGCGTTTCCGAATTTTTATTTATAAGAAATATCATTGCATAAAGAAATAAGAGCCTGAAGCAAGGCCCAGACGCAGACACTTGCGAGAGGCGTGCGTGAAGGACTGATGACGCAGACCAAAATACTTCAAAAGAAGAATGAAGAAAAGCGAATAAACAACAAAAAAACAACAACCAAGTGCCAAGTGTTTGTAGTTTTTTTTATGCATTTGTCATTTCGTTGCTTATGAGTACTGGTTTCCACCATTTCCGTTAAAAATTATACGATTTTTTCCCGTGCCCAACAAAAATTTTATTATTTGATAAGATTGCTTTGAAATCTGTGAAAAATGTCTTTGAAGCAAAACTGAATGAATTGGATCTAACAGTTTTAATTACGCTTTCAATTTACCATTGCAGCACATTTTCGATGCTGAAAAAAATGAATGGCTAGCAAATTCATTGTATTCCACTTGTAAACCAACATTCGTCTTGTATTCTAGTGATCCAACGACATAAGCATGAGTTTTCCGAAATGTGATAGCTTCAAATGCCGTAATCCATCGAAGACGATGTATGAATCCAGATAGATAAGGTGCAGATATTAATGGATATGTGAAAATTCACATTAGAATCCCAAGCTATGTTCGCCGGAGTTCGTTCGGGAAGAGGAAATAAAAAATGGGAAAAAACAGACACAAGCCAGATCGGAAGGGAATCGGTGACGCAAATGGATGTGGTGCATAAAAGAAAACAACTGCTCAAAGTAGAGGAAGCGGAAAAAAAAATGAAAAACGAAGGTTATTTTTAGCGTGTATATATAGAGGGAGAGTGCAGAGCGAAAGAGAATAATATGTTGTAATTTAACGTTCGCATTTTGTCAACCGAAAAGGTCAAATGGTGGTGTGATCACTGCTCATGCACAGAAGTATATACATGCACGCGGACATATATATGGCAGCCACGTAAGGGATGCAAACGAGCCGAAATTTTGAGGCTAAATCCTCTTGTTTGGTTGAAAAAGCAGAATATTACTGTGAGTGGCATCAGGAGTAGCAGCCGAAGTAGCAACATTCTGCCAGACAAACATCTCTTCAATGGTATTCAGCCGTCAAATTGGGCGTATGATGAAGTGAATAAATAGTACGACCTCTTATACGCTAAGCATACGAAATCCCGAAATCCGGGCCACACGCACCAAGCATATGCGCGTACAATTGGATCACGATCCCATTGCAAGATTACCATTCACCGACCTCACACATATTTACTTAGCTCATTGACAAATCTCTGAGCGACCAAAATAAGGATTACGAAAATTGAATGGATTTCTTTAAAAACACAGCAAACATAACGTACCCGAGCCCAATTCACGAACCCAAATTTTCATATTCCATTTTTTTCCTTTTGGTTTCGTTCAGTCCGATTGGAATGTTGCGTGTCTTCGCGCACAAAACACTCGGTTGTGTACGAAATTCCGTTTATTTGCCCTCAACATATAAAACAGCAAATGAGCCATGATATAACAGGAAATTTATTCAGACACGAATAATGCTCGACTATGAGCTGCAAATGCGACCAATGATTTGCTATCGATCGGAATGAATACGTATTCGTTTCGTTTCGTTGTTCCTGAGCGCTATTCCTATAATAATATTTTATTTGCTTTTCTTTTCCTAATTTTCCCCTCTGCGTTGTTCCGCAAACTAAACGTAAGACGAAAATACTTTTATGGAGAAAAAAAAAACACTAAAGCAGATGACGCATTCCATCCAAACAATAAATGGATAATGAATCGGGAAAAACTTAATTATGGAAACTCCATTTTCGAATCAAATTCGAGTCAAATCAAATGAAAACAGACAGGCTATAACATAGAGATAGAGATGTATTGTTATTCATTGGCTGTTGTGGAAACAGTAGCTGGTGAATGGCTCTTCTGCCTTTAGATGGCTGTTGTAATAATCTGTAAGGAACAAAACAGACATAACTCATAATTAAACCGCAAAATTTACATTGAAATTACACAAATGTCTTCATTGAAAGGCAACAGGAGGGCACGATTGAAGTCATTTCTTGAACACAATTAGCATTAACGTACGTATTTTAACTAATGCACAAATGATGATAATCCAACGAGGTAATGAATTCTCTAAAAGCGAATGCGGTCGCGCGCGCGCACATGCATACTCTCGAACAATAAAAGTGATTTGTTGCTATATTTTCGTTTCAAACGCTCAGCGTTTGGTGTGTTCCGCGCGTTCGGCACTCAGCGGTGGCAATCAATATACACACTCTCCAACAATGAGTGCATCATTCCAGAAGCTCAGCTGAATGAAAGAAAAAAAATGTTCTACTGTAAATAAAGACATATTACAACGAGTGAACTATTCATAAATGTTAATTTGATTGAGTTAAATGTTTTGAACTCATTTCGCTTTTATGACAAATGATTTTTTTTCTGTCTTCTATCTTTTCTATTCATTATCCATGTGCGTACAACGTTCGTTCATAATCTGTCTCTTTTGTTTTAACAAAAAGGATTTTCATTTGGAAAGCGAGTTCTGAATTGCATATTCAGAACAGTTGTACTTTTAAAATGTGCAAAGAACAGATTACTTTGAATTTTAAGTTAAAACAAACTGTGCAAAGGCATTAAACATGTTCTATATAATATACATGTTGATTTTCACTTAAATTCTATCACCTTTATTCATGAGAAATTTTCCCATTCGTGAATATTTTGTTGGAAACTTTTGTTGACTGCTTAGACGGCGTTTAATAACCGTGATACCCATTCATTATGACGGGATGCACGCTTCATGATGATGACAGATGATGATGATGATGTTAATAGTGTATGTTTGTGTATAGTGTGGATAGAGAAGCATCGAACAATAATAGCGAATTAACTATCCATATCCAAGTGCAAGCAAAATGAATTCAATGCACTTTTAATTGGATAAGTTTGACGTTCATTTTTTTCCATTCTGTTCGTCTTTCTAAAGAAGTGATGATTTGACGAATCAACCATGGTAAATACGATGGGTTCGTTATTTTCTTTATTATTATTTTTATTATATAAACGAAAACCGAGTTATTCGTAATTTTTCCCGTTGAATTTCCCTTGATTTTGATCAATGAACATTTATTTGGGTTTCGTAACCACATCCGAGATATTTTATTAAGTGCTTTATGTTTTGGACAAGATAGCTCCTTTTTTTCAGAAGCCAACACATCACGTTGAGACCAAAACGCAGTCATAAAACAATGAAACGTTTTCATTCCACTGATTAAAATCTCTTTCTCTGATTGAAAATCGTTGTCACGTCCAATTTCTTCTCGGACGGATCCATTCACCGATGCCATGGAACCAAGTCTAAATTTAGTTTTTCTAATTTATTATTTTCGCATGATTGACCGTAATTCATTCGATAAAGTTATTTTTTAACCCAAAAATATCAACCACAAATGATTTCTTCAAATTTTTGTTTCCCTTCCACTCGTTCACTTTATTATTTGTCGTTATTTTTTTGTCATTTTCTTTTTACGTATGTTCCGTATATATTCATAAGGTCATATTCAGTGAACGTGGTTGACATTTATTCACATAATTCTAAGGAAATTTTCTTCTTCGGGTAGGTAACCGAAAATGATTTTCGTTAAAAAAAAAGAATTTATGATTGCGCCACGTTCACTGAAAATTGACCGTAAGAAAGAGATATTCTGTGAACAGACGACCAGAGTAGGTAAGCAAAATTACTATGAAAAAAAAAAAATATATATATAAAAGGAAGGTTATGCAGTATGCACTCCACACGACAGTCATTTAAAATTGTGAACATTTCATAAACATTTCAAAATTAAATCGGTGCTGTGCACTCTGCATTCTGTTGAAAAACATCATCGTCTCCGAAAATAATATCCTCCGAATACTTTATGACACACATAATCAGAAATGTTGGGTCAACAAAATGGAAACATTACCTCTGAATGTATCGGAGCAGCGCAGAGCAGCATATCAAAATGAAAAGATTAGGATTGCAATGACTGATTCCCATGTTGAAACCATTTCGTTGCATTTCACATTCTATTCCCATGATATTACGAACAGGATGGTGACATTCAATAATTATGGAAATGGAAATTACTACTGGTTGTAACGTTGATCTCAAAAAAATCGATTTTAACTGTTGTTTTCGTTCGTTTTTCTTGCTCACAGTTGCACATTATTTGAACCACACACACAAAAAGGTCACAATGCCTAACAATAACAATAAAAATCGGAACGAAAACAACAAACTTTCAGTAGTATGTGGCACTGTGATAGTAAAAATGAAAATAAAACTATGCTCCTCTCACAATTTGACCATGCTCTCGTTTTCTTCTTTCTCATTCTTGTTTATGGGATGAATTCGACGATATCACTCGCATAATACAATGCCTTTTCTTCTTCTTCTACTTCTTCTCTTGCAGCGAGCAACCGAAGTGGCTGTGATTATAGCTATAGATAGGATAGATATGTGAGATAGCCTAGTCAATGCATCGCTTTTCGAGAAAAATACAAATCGATCTTGGCATAAAGAAGAAGGCGTGATTGTATTAGTGTGTTTGTGGCGGCAAGTCTACTATTCTATGAAAATTCTTCTCTATAAATTGAGGTAAACCTGAATAAAATAATGCTTATTTTTTTGGGCTTTTTTTTCTCATTCGTCGGATCATTTTTTTCTGTCGCCAGTTTAAAGATGTCCAAACTAGATAATTTTGTTTGGACTCTGTCTCCCTTCTCATTTATGTTGCGTTTCTATCATTTGTCATCCATATCCAATGTTGTTTTTTTTATGTGGTCCATTCTGTGCAATTCACAAAAGAATGGAACAATCTTGCAAAAATATTCACACCAAAAATTTAAGATTCAAACGTACTTGAGGCCACTTTGCCACACAATGTGGATTTCCATGAAATGAATATGAAACAATCAATGAAAACTTATCCCGCAGATGCCAATTGAACTGTTGTGCTGGAAGAGCTCCGTCTCGTTTCCAACTGATATCTTTTTGATTGCACGATAGTGCAACATTAGAAAAAAAAAACGATTCTAAAGCAGTCGCAATATGGAAAATTGAACGAATCACATCGATTTGAATATTCAGTGTTCGTAGCGGAACTTCAATCGAAATGATAATAGGGTCTTGATACCGATATCTATAAAAAAATATATAAATATATCGGTTCCATGCATTGGCATTGTCAAACTTTGATCGAAATCAAACAACACACCTCAGATGTTGACTTTTCGAATCTTCTATTTGATTTTATGTATATAAACTACTGAATTATGATTTATCATTTCAATATCAATACCATTTATGGCAAATGCTTATGACGACGATGAGATTACTCACAGAATGACCATATGAATAGCATATGAAAATGGGAATATGTATTTCGGTTAAAATGTGACCGCTTTCAAAATGACACGGGAGTTCGTTAATTAACGAGCAGTAGTAACACCAGTTTGGTTATTTTGTGAATTCGGTAGAATGTCCCACGAATGAATTTCTATATATTTATGTGAGTGGACAAAATAGAGCATTCAAAAAGTGGTCCATACGAAATGCCATAATTAATGATAGATAAAAAGTATTCAGAGATAAGTGACGCGCGGAATCAGGTAAAAAAGTTGAGCAAACAAAGCCATTCGATTTGGGTTTTGTTGAACTATTTATTTTAATGAGTTTGATATCTGCATTCTTTCTAGGAGGCAACAGCCATTAGTTTTACACACAGTTTATTCAGCACCAATTGCCAGTAAAATGGATAAGAGTAGTTAACTTGTTCAGTGCTTGTATTTCGGAATTGTATCTATCATTCACAGATTCTATCTGTGTTTTCTAGTAATTGCCGTGTGTATGCGCACGCATTACAACTGACTCTACCATTGAAATTAAAATGAAATGGTTCTGTTGCGATCAGCAAACCATTTCAATTGAAATCGTGGATAACATCACTTCAAACTGTCTACTAATCACGGGAATAAATGTTAAAAATATAAGTCACAAACACTTTCCAAAAACAAATCGCCGAATATCCAAGAAAAAAAAACTTATTCCAATTGACAAATTTAAATGCGGTACACCACGTACATGGCACACAAACCCGAAGTAAATGAATGCATTTAGATCATTAATCTTGTTTCCACAGAAAACACCAATGACAATGTGATGTGTACAATGTATATATACGTATACCCAAATTCAAGCGTACGTGTTCTCCGGAGACAAACCAAACTGAATGGATTGAAAAGAAGAAAAATTATTGTGAGCTGTGACAAAATGCGACAAGACGAAAAAGATTTTTATTTTCTGATTTCATAAAATACAATTTGATTATGATTATGAATTGTCTTTTTATTTATTCGAAGGGCATTTACTTTAATTCATTAATCGAAAAAGTCAAAGCAAAACAAAACAAAACATCACGTCTGATAACTTTGGAGGAGATGATGAAGAAGAAGAAGTAAAAGTCATAAAAACAGCGACGGATGGAGCGAAGTGAAAAGAAAAAAAAACAAATGATTGGCTACGAGTACACACCGAAGTGTTTGGTCGCCCGTAAAAACGTACTTCGTCTGGTATTCGCTTTGAATAAACAATTTGCTTTTTGAAGAAGAAAAAAAATATTATGGTGGTAAAAAGGTAGTGGAAAAAAAACACACGAATCGACACGAGACAACGACAACGTCCATTCAATATATTGCTAACGAAATTTTCTCATACGTTTAAATTGATGGTCACGTTTTTCAATATTAAATTCAAGCATATTTCTTGAAGGCTCGAATTAAACTGCGTCACGTCCAGTATTTTAATTCAGCTTCATTGGATTCGATGGTGAAAATGTTTTGTTTACAATAAAGTGCTAATTCCTCTTCGGTGCGGATGAAACATTGCATGCCAATGATAATTCGATGCCCAGGACCCATATAATCATTGATTCATAATTTGATTTCCGATTCCATATTCAGTGTCTTAAAATCATCGAATTTAGTCACCGGGTTTTTGAGAGAAATAATCCATTAAAAATGTGGCGCCATTTTTCCGTTTCAGCCATGTATATTGACAGACACCTGCCTGTTTTCCACGATAAGAATTCGCACAGGTCAAAACTTACAAAGGGGATTCGTAATGCCCAGTTAATGTGTTTGTGTGTACTGTGTTCGGTACAACAAATGGCATAACGTTAGAAGCATCGATTTCTCAAAATATACAAGTATACTATTATTATAGAAAACCTGCACTTATCTAACGTATTACAACACCATTTCGATCGGTCTATTTTAATTTTATATCGATTTAAAAGTAATCAATGAAATATTATTTGGGATAAGAGTCTAAATTTTCGTAATTTGTAACGTTCGGAGATGACAAATGATGTTGATGTGTAATGTAACTTTGTAATTAGCTCAGAAGAAATGGGAATAGAAGAACCGAAGTCATAATTATAGTGTATCATGAGCCACAGTAGACTGCATTCCATTCAATCGGAAACATTTTTGGTTGGCTTAGTTTCACTTACGTAGAGCTAACACAATACAATAGAATAAAATAATTCCGCAAATATTTCATTATCCGATTCTCATCTTAATTGTGCATTCCATTTAAATTGTATTTAATTGAATGGTTATGGTTGATTGTAAATAGAGAACGATCTCTTGCTCAAATCAAATGAATTAGGAACGGAAATTTCTTGCAGTGCATTTGAATTGCTATTTTCACCGGTGTTGAACTAAAATCGATAGCCCACCGATTAATTAACGTATCAAAATGTCTGTGAATGGTGTTCCGTTCGGCGTGGCTATTGTGCCGTCCAGATATGGAGAACGTGTACGTGCCGTACATACCATAATAATATGAAAATAAATATGTACATTAATCGAGTGGTTAATGAATTCGTAATTTGGCACTGTACAAATGTGCATTAGAAAATTATCCATGTTTTATTGCGTTTTATGCCCTGTGTGCTTGGAATACATCGTTCTCTTCTTCCGACTCCTGGTCGCTCGATGTGTGTGTGTGTGTGCGTATATATATATATATATATATATATATAGCATATATTCAGACAAACAATACCGAATCTTGTCGAGCTCTTATACAAGCTCTACAGGTCCCATTACCGGTAAAGTAATAAAATAATAGTAATTATTATATTACTTAATTTCAAGTGTTTTCTGTGTTAGAATTATGCCGGCGATGTACAAATACCGATGCTCTATTTTGGTTTCGGCCGAAAATCCACATCGTTTCGGTAATCAGATGAATGCTTTGATGGAAAAAATACTGTTCTGAATGAACGCAAGCCGTAATTGCCAGCTCAAACAACACTTTCATTCCACCTACTTCTACCGGCTGCAATCGAATATTATATTATTTAGCCTTCGTTTCTTCAAAAACTTTACTAATATCTTTTTGAATACTCTTCAATTTTCGTTTCGTTCGAACGTACATTTCGAACATTAGATGAATCATTTGTAGAAATGATATTCCACAGAGGTAAAATTATTTCATGCGAGTTATTACACTGCCGTTTTTCTACTTCTATCGCGCAACCAATACAAAAACACATGGACAGCACGAACAATTTATAGAACTTTGCCCGCTACATACTGATTTCTCGTGTAAAAACAATTCCATACGACAAGATGAAATGCTTCTCTAACGTTCTTTTTTTTCAATTGTTGTAATGAATCAACAACATTTCAGGGAGGTGTTTGTGTTTTTTTCCCGCCTGATTTATTCAAACGCAATCAAGGTGAGAATAATGCAAAGTCCTCCCAGTGAATATTCAAATCATCATTTTGTCTAATGCAGAGAAATGTACAAATGTTGATTTTCAATTCAAAACATAGATAACGAAAATCGATTAAGGCAAAATATAATTGCTTGATTTCCGTTTCCGTTCCCGTTCCCGTGTCCGTGCCCCTGTTTGCACGAGACATCCAGTTAACCTACGACCGTCTCGATCATTAGCCAATGTCTTTTCATTTAATGCCTTTTCATACATTTATCTACAAACAAACGGCGACGGCGACCAGTAGAGTGCCAAAAACCATTCAAAACGTAGTTAGTCAGTCATTTAATAAGCACACTCCAAATCCAAAATTTTTTTTTTGTCGTTTGTAGATAATTTCCCGAAAGGCTAATTTTACAACTGGCTAGACAAAATGGACTCGATTCAATGTTTTTTCCATATTTATTTGCTGTTGCTCTTCTGTGTAGTTTGCACCATTTGAGCACAAAGCATAGGTTTTTATCTGGTTTTTCGTATTGACACCGAACTATTATTGAACGTAACAGTGTTTTAATTATTGTTTAATTAACTACACGTCATTATGTCTTTCCATTGAAATTTCGAGTTGCGTTCCACTGTCCCATATTACATTTGCTAGCTGGCTATACATGCAACACACTCTATATTGTTTAATCCTAATTGTGGTCGGACAATAGCACTCCGGAACATGTATATTGAAGAGCTAACCCCGTTTTCAGACAAAAAGCATTTGGTTGACAATTTGGTGGAATGTTGGCGTTTATTTGGTTTGACGAGTCATCTACAAAACACTGCGTTCTCACAAGTTGAAATCACTTCAGGTTGCTTTGTGAGAAAATTATTACTTTTGCCACAAAATGACATAGTATAGACGAATCAAGTCGGAAAAAGGGGTTTAAAGCGGCACTTTCACCAACCAAAATGGATTCGTGGTTTTCTCATGCAAGTAGAAAAAAAATATATAGAAGAAATGCTGAGAAACGGGAGCAAACACTTGAACCAAATATCAAATCAAATGAGCCGAAATATGTGATAAACTTCATGAACTCTTCAAGTGATACATGATTTGTGTTATGACACTTAGTCCGCTGAACTTCAATAGCGATAAAACACTTCAAACGGGGATAATTACAACCTTGAAGAAGTATCATTATCAGCATTCGATTTATTGAAAATGAAAAAAGGTCGGAACGACGTTCGTTTTTTTTCTTCTCATATTCCATACATAAACAAATGTCAATCATGTCGGAGTTTCGATGTAAAATTTCGCTTACAATGGGCCCATTCCAGGAGAGTTAATATTCAGATCGAGAAATGAATTTGGTATCGAACGACGGCTACCAATTTTCACAGTCCTCCGTCAGTTACTTTGAATAATGTTCGGGTCGATTTTAACATATGTCATTTGGAAATGAATATGACATTTTGTTATCTTCGAATGATTCAATATCAAGACCCATGTGCGTGGCTATAAGGAAATTGGACACATTTTTAATGTGCTCCGCATCTCATGCCGATTTCAGCACGAACTCGCAAATCCCATAAATCTTGGAATGTCGGAAAGAGCGTGTGTGCGCACATTTTTTCTTCAGTATTCATTCATTCATTCGTCGGACCAGCTGAAGACAATGTCAAATGTGAGCTCATTTTTTTATTAGATTTCGATAACATGATAGTAGGATCAGAACTGTTCACAATTGTTAGATTTTTGGTCACAATCTATTGCTCTTTCCCTCCCTCCCTCCTCCTCCTTCTCTCTCTCTCTCTCTCTTGCTCTCTTTTTGCTTGTGCGTTAGGTTTTCGGGTGGTTTTTGGCAAACGTTCACAATCAATTTTTATTGATTTTATGTACAAATCATGCGTGTCCGTATGCACATTGACAAAATTGACAAAAGCAACAGAAACAGCCGAATCAAATGTTCTTGTGCCGTATATTTTTATGGAAGAGAGAAAATGTAAAGAATATGGTGGAACGTAATCTATATGATCAATTCGATTCGCATCGTTTCGCTTTAAATCGACACACACGATGACTGAAAAACAAATCATGAAAATATGTTGGCACACACACACACGCATACGCATACGCATACGCACAGGGCCAACGGACAACGGTGGCAATGTAGGCTTTTGTTTTATTGTTTGTGCGTTTCGGTACCAGCGCAAGCAAAATAAGCAAAAATGATATTTGATTCATTTCCTTCTATTTTTTCGACAACAAACACATGACATTTATTGCACTACTGCATTGCCATGGCGGCAATAATAGCAACAGAAACAGCACCGGGCCCAACTCTAATCAAGCATATCGAAAACACTTCTTCTTCTCCATTTTTTTTCGTTTGTCGTCTCCGCCGTCATTTCTTTCAGTTTTTCTGAGATTTTGTCATCGCACAATATTCGCCATAATTTTGCATTTTGTATCCAAACAAAAGCAAATGAAATGCGT